GTCAAAGGGGGACATGGAGGAGGTCATGTGAAGAGGAGATTAAAGCATTTGGGCAGACTCAGAGCCAGGTGAAAACGTTTGCAGAGGAAAGAACGTAATGGAGACGTGCGGCTGAAGCCCTATGTTCCTCTAGAAACTGAAGGAAACAATAATAATAACACTGCATTTCCATGCAGATTCTACAGAAGCACTTTCTTGTCCATTCTACACAATTGTATGTTTTTAAATTTTTGATAATGTCTTGGTTCCACGCAGTATTTCGGTACACTAATGGAATTTCCAGCTTGCGTTATCGGTAGCTCAAATTTAGCAGGCCGACCATTCATATCAGGTATGCTTCGACGGCGGATTGAAACTCGGACTACGTGCGTGGTCGGTGAGGGTCCTAACCACAGTGTCATTTTCTCACACCTATTACGTCATCCCAGATTCTACCCCCTTTTTCTAATTTCCAATTAGTCGACTCCTACCAGATGACATCTTACGCTGTGTAACTTATTTCCCAGTTGGAATTTGGCATCATGTGATTGGTCTTATGAATTCTTGGTTAAATAAAATTACGATTGTACAGCTTATGAAAATGAATCGTAGAAAAGGAAATTTTCTTGATGTTTAGATCTTTTTCCTATGACTAATGGTTTCGTTCAGAAGTACTTATAAATTTGGTGTTCACCTTGAAGATTACATTTTTGTACCACCATAGACGTTGTAATATAACTGGTCTATCTGTGAAAATCAAATCACTGTTCAGGGCAGTACACCTATGGCGTACTGAAGATGATTCCGATTTTTATGCTATAATGCATCCACGTTCTCAATTTCTACTATGTGCTAACGTTGCACGGTGTCAACGACGAACAACGTCGTATTAAGATGCACGAGTGAAAACTTGAAAATATGTATTGTTAACGAAATAGAATTTCAAAACGCACGAGGTGAACGAAAAAGTGCATAACCGCGTAAAATATATGTATAACAAACGAAAAGCGATATTCAATAATACGATGACAAATATTCAACAGGCATAAGGAAAATTAGTTTCTTTAGGAGTATACGTGAGTACATGAATTAGTTTTCTAAGCATACAGTTAGGCTTAATAGAGGGGTGCTACACAATTTGCAAATGTTATTTTTTCATCCAGAGTATTTGTTTCCCCATATTTTTTGTAAATATAGACGACACAGACGAAACACACCTATCTTCTTATAATTATTAACTTTGTCTAGTTGAACTCTAGAAAAGTGAAATATACAGACAGAAAGACTAAAATGTACCATAATTTTGCAGTAATTGCAAGAATATTTCACATAAGATCCATGTTTTTAGGAATTAACAAGTATATTCTGTAATATATAGAAAGTGCAAAAATAAAAACCTGAGTATTTCAGTTTGATCACAGGAGACCGGTCGATGTGTTTTTCAGTGTAGCTAACGAAACTTCTGAGAGTGAGGCAGAATCACGATATTCTTCCAGTAGTACCAAGAAGACAGTTTGGTGTGATGAACACTTTAGTACTGTTAAATAACAATAATAACAAATCGAAGACGCAAAATTACCATAGCACTGCCACTATACAGTCCAAGAGTTTCTCAGACAGAAAATATTTATTGTACAACAAAATTAAGTTAGCAAAGAAGAAGTAAGAAATACGGGAGAATCAAATAGAATATTCCCAATAAGGTGGGATCAAAACTCTGTCGGTAGCAATAAAACACACCAAACTTGTTTCCCACTGACAGTCCGAAGTGAACTAGTCAACAAGCTTAAGTTTGATTTCTTTCAAATAAGATCACACTTATAAAAGAGTACGTCATCATCAAGATTCCATCATCAGCAATTAGTAAACTGAAACATTTAGAAGAGGAATTAACCAGAAACAAAGACCAGGTATAAGAATTAAATCAAAGTAAGATATGTATATGTTGGAACAACTATACGTAGGTCAGGGAAAAAAGAATGAAAATTACGTAATTAGGAGAAATACTCAAAGGAAGATCAATATTTTGAATCGACTTCAGGAGACTTTCTCCAGTGAATTATTCTATTATAGAAAGTCATACTGGTGGATCGATTAATCAGTGCTTTTTATCACTATCTGCAGGTCATTAGAAATGACTGCACATTAATGACAGTATACAAATCAGGAATAGCAAGAACTTACTTGGATTCCATTTTCAGTGAATATTTCACGATCATCACATTAAGCATGATTTGCTAAGTCTTTTATTCATCTGCGTGCCTGTCAGTTAAGCGTACTTTAGAGGCTGAAGGTGTTGACGTTCACCGATAGTATGAAGTATACTAATGCAAGATCTAATACCCACAACTTCTATAGTATTTGTTCCACGTAGACGAAAGGCAAAGCAAAACAACAGAATTGACCAGCCAGATTACGAGTTATATTTCGGGACCAAATCGGAGTGAGACATGATTGTTTTACTAGCTAGTGATCGTGCACGAACGAACGGACGTAACACGATGGAGTACCAAATGGCGTTGATGCTTGACTGTAGACCTTTAGCTAATCAAATCAAATTAAAGAGTGAGGGTCAGCATCCAATGTTCAGTGAGGAATGCTGTGGCTAATAATTCTGGGGAATTACATACCTCTACAGTTCAACCAACTTGCTTTTCATCTAGCATTCATTGTTACCTTGTCTAAATTTCAAGAACTTATTTACACTGTCTTGCTGATTATTGTGTAATCATGCGTATACGGAATCAGTGAATTCCCAATCCTAATTTGAATCTACTACTTGTTTAGAATGGAACAATTTAGTTTGAGTACTACTAGTGTATTTGTGAACATAAAGGTAATTATTTTCTGAAACATACTTTTATCTTCAGGTAGTGATAATAAGTAAATAAATAACACGTTAATTGACAAGTGAAGTGCTCTGGAAATCTTAAAACTTCACTGATATACATGTGTTAACAGACTGTTAATTCTGAAGCCTGACTCATCAATTTTAACAATATGGTGAAACTATTTATTAAGAACATTCACAGTAAAATTTGCTAACGGCACATCTAAAAATAACCATTGTAACATAAGTAGCGCCATATTACACAACAAATACCCTACTGAATTCTTGAATTCAGCGGAACGATTAAAAAGAGGCTTAATTAGGAAAATCACTTGACAGTTAAAACAACTTCGGCCGTTCAATTTCTATACGTGCTTTATTTTTCATTCTGTCCAATTTGTTTGAAGAAATTACAGTTCAGATGTTCATAGTGCATGTCAGTGTTTGATCATGAAATAGAACAAAGAGTCTGTTGAATCATTGCTTCACTACCAATATTTGTGAAAAGACTTTTAAATTAGTCTTTCATTACTACAGTACCACAAAGAAATGGTTGGTTGGTCACTAGTCCTAAACAGAAAGAATGGTTTCTCGTCAATTAACTCTATAATACATGCCTCATAATGTATGCTTGAATGCATTGTTCCATAAATAATGTATTAGTCACCACAATTGATCATTCACTGTTGTATGCATAGATGCAAGCCTAAGTATCTTAAAGTAAATTTGCTTAGAAAATAAACGACTAGGTTTTAAAAAATTACCAATGCTAACTAATTATAAAGCTAATTTAAATTATTATAAAATGAAACATTATTTTATTATTATAATTAAGCATTTTCCGACGAGTTTCCTGGCACATCTTAAGTGATGCTGAAGCTTTTATGGGGATTGAAAACGTTTGTTTTCTGATATAAACTCAAAATATTGCAGCAGTTTTAGCAAAAGCAGGATTAAGAGAATCAGTAAATTTCAGCCGACCTCGATAGCTAAATCCCATGCGTTCTCGCATGCATAAATTAGTTCAATTTTGAAAAGCAGATGCTGACATTTTATGAACTGATCTAATCCCGAATCACCCACCCATTTACTATAGTTACTCTAGATTTTGTAAGAGTGATCGTATGAGGCATCTGAACACAGTGCGTTTTCTCTTTTTTAGATTATTTTGTCTTCACACTAATAACAATATCACTAATATTTTCATCACCACTAAGTATTTCATCCGGCTAAATAAATGTATTAAATATACAGGTTTCTTATCAGATTCGATTAGCACTGCTGCATGAAATTGAAGCATGAATCAAGTTTTGATTCTAGAGTGACACTTTCTAGATAAGGAAAGAATATATCTCAGAATTCTGTTAAAGTGTTAAAAAGATCATTATTTCATTGTTTTAAACCTTTACAACAGGCCAGTAGGCATTTCTGTGATAAAGAATAATCTATAATTGTGTTTTGTGTCTATTCATTCTTAACAGTTGTCATTCTTTTTTGTTTCCTACAAGGTGATTATTGAACAAACTTCATGACCAGAATAACAGTCGTTTTACACATTTCACGAGGAAGTCGTACATTTCGATTATGAGAAAGTGACTCTTGATTGAAACAAAGCAGCCTGAAATGGCCAATTTTCAATGCATGAAACTACTAGCATAAAACTTCAGAGTCTGATTTCACCTACGATGAAGAAAATTAGAATTTCATTAGACTAAAGAATGTGAATTCCACATTTTCCACAATATATGGTTACTATGTTTTTAAGTAGGACCGAAATTCAGAATTTCTTTATCAAACAAAATTAGTATTAATTCTCAGTAGAGTACGTAGACCACTTGCTAGCGCCTAGCTTTCCATAGACTGAAAAAATTTTAGCCTTAATTAAAAATAGGTGAAAACAATTTCTTCACCTCCAATATTTATAATATTAGTGTGTGTCAACTTTCAACTTAAAATCCTGTTATCGCTTCATAATATCTAAAATATCTTTTAATATCCTATGATTTATTTGAAAAGTGGGCATTTTACTAAGCAAAATGCAAAATGTGGGCCATTCTTAGATATTTAATCAATCTGTAGATATTACATTCAAAACAGTCCGAGGATTTCGTCAAATCCTATCTTACACTAGTGTTTATGTTATTAAAAAGGTCTGAGTGTCAGAAAAAATCGTTGAAATGTCAAGTGTTGAAGTCATTTTTGGTTCAGGCGTTGTTTATTCATGTAGTCTAATTTAGCCATTAAGAGACAATATGGAAAGAAAAAAGTAACTAAAAGTTGATACTCAAGAGCCTTTATTTTGCTTATTTAACCGTTCCATGAAAAGTTATTTGAAATTTCCAAAAAAGCAACAAGTTTCACTTTTCGATTCGGAAATCAATGAAGCTATTAAAAAGATGGTTATTGTGTCATTTGTGCTGAATCATAGGAACGTGAACTTTACTGTTGACCTCCAATTACTTTTGCTTTTGATTTTGGGATGCAAAAGGATTTGTTAGCTTTTTATCAGAGCAAAATTCAAAAATTCCTTAACTTATCAGATAAACATGAGTCTATTTGTCAGTGAAATTTTATTATAAGTGTTTGCAGAAAATAGAATTAAACGGAAAGCAATTTAAAAAACGAAGCAAGGACTTTTATCGGATAAAATTATTAAAAAAAATTTAACTGCACTAATAGCAATTATGACAGTGTTTTTTACTTTGCTTGGAGCAGAGAGATACAGTTAGGATAAAGTCTATATATAATGAGGCTAATAGCTATAAGAATAAAGGTAATCAGTTATGCATTACGATCTGAGAGCTTCTAATTCATGTGGACTGTAGTAAGGTTGTTTCACTCGTAATTTTGCACATGATCTAACAAAGCATCCGCTCAGTTTGCACTTCTCTGGAGTCTTTCTGTCTTCGATCCACAATGTTATGAAGAGTGCTGTTTAAAAAAGAAACAAAATTTTATTATAGTCACACATTAACAGAGGAATAAACTTATCTTTTAAAGGGAATAATTTCAAAACCAATACACTGGTGTGACAACGTTACATTTCAATGAATATGCTTAAATGGCCTATTGAGTGCAGACTGCTTCATCTTACATGTAAATTTTCGCGAAATATTTGTTTTTAAGACTTCTGTGATTAAAACCACATTGATGGACTGAATTTTGAAAAATGACACGTCTCCATAGACGTATAAGTTCACTACTAACTGTGTAACTCTTGCATATGTTAGTAAACTCTCCACTAACACTTAGCTCAAGAAATTATTTGCTGGAATAATATGCTGAGTTTCTATTTATTCCTCTGCTTATCTATAAAAGTATAGTCAAAGTATAGTCTTCTATGGATAGCGGAAATCATATTCTCTAAATTTCTAAGAAACCTCGAAAAATAAGACATGAACATAACAAACAGAGTTGTCATAGGTCAGACTGAAACTGTTGCATAATGCTTACTGCTTTCACTGAGATGATATGCCTTTAATATAATTACACTAAGTTTGATTAGTTCTTATGATGATATTTTACTTTAGATAAGATGAAACTTCATGTTACAGGAAAAAGTCATAACAGAATTTTATGAAGGTAAACAGATCGTATGATGACGATAAAAACACAAAGTAGGAATAATTACCATGGTGAAAAAATAGTGTTACAATAGCTTTACTAATAAATTTGTTGTTTTTACTATTCTAAAACTCTTTGTAAAGAAATCAATGAGGATTGGAAAATATGTCATAAACAAACAGCTGTAGTACACCAGCACACCCATTTTTGGGTATAACAGTTGCTTATGCCTAAAGCCATTTACTCTTAAAATACCCGTCACTTTGCTTATCAATACTTCTTTTCCATGGAAATACGCTTTTAATGGAAAGTTCTGACTACTGAGGCCAGCACAGTGCTTAAACATCCAAGCGACTAAACTACCAAAATTTTACATCTCACATGCAAATCTCTTCTCGGTATTTTGGAATCACCAACCCTTAAAAATTATTTTTGTTGAAGATATAAATTTTATAAACTCGTTGAAAATGTGAGGATATTCATCATAAACAATTCGCAGGCTAATAAATTCTCCGTTTCACATGATATGAAAGAGACTATTTATACTGTTGACTAACTGATAATACTACGAGTTTGTGATGAAGTTTGTTATCATGACAACGAAAAATTAACTGAATTTCAGAAAATAATAATATTTCACACCCATTTCCGCAGGATAAAATGCATGCCAATCAGTATTAATGCATATTATATTCTGTGAAAATAAATAATATGAAAATGAGATTTCAAATCATTTTGAGGGAACCAAATACAATCAGAGCAGGTTTGAGACAAGGGTGAGTGGACTTTTCAGAAAACTTAACTAAAACCAGTTTTGTTGCCTACTGTCTTCATTTACAATATAATAAGTTTCCAAGGTGAAAAGTTTTGTTTCTGATCTGCTACCAGCGTATTTATTCGTCTGAATTGCCAACACACCAGAAGATGAGACCGTTTCCTGTTTTACTCCGTTTGATATTGGTCTGATTGTAATTGACAGGAGAAATTTCTCGCTCTACTGTTTTTTACAACATTAAATTGCATCAGGTTTTACAAATACCAATTCTGTATTGTAGGGTGATTCTCTGCTGTCACTTAGAACCGTAGTATTTATTACTTATCCACTTGGTTGAATATTAGTCATTTGATTGTAGGGTGATTGTTTTTCTTCAAAGCGTGTATTTCAGTTGTGGTTTCGTTGGATTATCATGTTTTTAGAAGTAATGATGTTGGTCGTAAGCATGCCTCTTGTCAGGAAGAAATATAACGAGAGTCTAAATCGTGAATACATTCACTTCCATAAAAAAGTCAAGTACAGGACCTTATTACTGCTTTTAAATGTTAATGAATCCTTTTGGTAGAGTGGTGACTGGATTGAAAGACAGCATTGTGGGCAGTCGTTGGGGTTCATTTTTCGAATCTCATCTGTCTTATATTTCTTCAATAATTGGTCTTAAAGCATTCGCAGCTGATTTTGTTTTAACTGCTTTGATCTTAGTGGTACTCTGTTACCAAACTTTCGCAGTAATTTGGCCTCATAGACAACCTTTAGGGAGAGTAAAGTAATGCCTTCAGCGAATGTGGTGCTCTGCTTTAGCAAGAGAAATACGATTGCAGAGATGGCCCTTCAGTCTGAACATTCTAGTGTAGGTACCTTTGTCAGCTTCTTGTAGTGTTCGTTTACTGTAGGCTACATTGACTCTTACAGAAAATATTTTAATACAATACTTCAGGGAAACTGTTGCCTTTGTATCTAGAAATTTCATCAGCATGAGTAGTTTTCCATTGCACTCTTGTTCGATAAGCTGCATAGTTAATTTTCCTAATAACTTCATCCAGAAAAGGGAATCTTGCTGTCTTATTCTCGCTAATTATAAATGAATTTCACTGATTTTTTCGGTATGTTGGAGCTGATAATCATGAAAGTCTCTACGATGCACTCAGTTCAAATTTAAGGTTGAACCACTGGAACGACAACCAACTTTAGACACTGCTTAACGGTCTCATGATTAAACCGTGATATTGGTGGTTTTACTAACATCATACCTGTTTAATGATAGATTCTCTAGCTGAAGTGAAAGTCGGTAGTAAGACAGGAATCAATAAGCTCCTCTAAGATCAGAATTAGGGTTTAAGTATATTTAAAAAAGCATTGGTCACTACTTCTTTAGGTAGATTTGGGAAGATTGATGTGAAATATGAATTTAAGTCGACGGAACTCATTATTTTTTTATCTTTCTATACTTTCAGATACCTTATTTTTTACAGAAATGCGTCTGGTAAGTTGACTGAATGTTCATTGTCGCCGACTGGGAGGTTCAGTCTTATGTACAATACTTTCGATAAATTGAACTAAGGTGTCCTAATTAATGTAATTATTGCCTTAGTGAAAAATTTCCCACATGTATTTTAAGTCAACTTCGGGATGAGGGTAAGCTGGTGCAGTTGTTTCTGTTGCATACTGTCTTTTTTATGATTTATATGGATTTGATTGAGCTGCTTAGCTTATGCTATATTTAGTTGCTGAATTGCTTCAGAGAGCTTTTGTCCAACGATTGATACATATCCAGTGACTTTTCGATTTTGCTAACATAATTTATCTTGTTTATAACAGCTAATTTCTGCTCTTATCTGTTCACAGGATTATAATTGTTATATTAGGCACAAGTAAAAATTATTCCCCTCCAAGGATAACTTAGAAAGGTAGCTGGTGGAATTTAAATTGTTCCGGTGTCAAATAATGTCCCGCCAATGATGTGATATTTGAGTTCACGTTGTGTGGTTCAACCAGTGTCGAAGCAAATTTTTCCCATAAATCGATAGTGACTTTTTGAAACACTCGCTTCTCTCTCATCTCCCGCTTTTTCTCCTCTAGCTTTAGTAATTTACCTGATTTATTTTACACCTTCCCAATTTTCTCAGCAAACGAATTTTATCCCTTTTCCTGCAGGCAAAAGTCCACTGTTCTCAAAGAACTTTGAAGTAACTAAGAAGGTTAATAGCGCGGCATTAGGGTGAAAATCATTTTGCGTTCTCTAAGGTCTCACATCTGATTGTGGACGTTTCAATACAGCTGTATACATGCGATTTGGTAACCCGATAGAATTATTTGACTGGTAACACTCATTTTTCGATTGCTGAGGTGAAATCAGGTTTAAACTTGGGCAGAAGTGTTAATAAACCATAAATTCATGAAGAATTATGGAGATATAAAATCCTTAACATAAAATATTTATAATGCATTATTAATTAGCTCGGTCAGATTTTTAAGTGTCATATAGGGAGAACATCAAAAACACCTTGTTGCTTTACGATCTCTCATACTAAGTATAAGATAACAAGCTCAACCAAAAAACATAGAACTTAATTCTCACTTGACTGTTTAAAGTACTTTTCTGACAATATACATAATTTATGCAAAAATACTTGGTTGATACACATAAATTAAACATTATGAATTCACGTCATGACTCCAGAAACATGTTTAGGTCGTAAAATAAACCATTACTTAGTCACTGACTAGCATCATCTTTTTTATCACTTTAAATTCATAAACATAATTTCTTTCCTATGATAAAATCATGGTAAAGATCTAATTTTGATCATCTGCTGTCAGAAAATTCAAGCGATAATAGTCATAATTATATAGATGATAAAGTAAAGCGGAATAAAATTAGGTGGAAATAGTCTTATTAAGACTGATGTGAAGAGAGGAGATTTAGTTAAGAGTTCCTGTTGATATATGGTTAACAGTTCAACAATACATAAGTGATGAGAGCGTAGACTGTTGAAACGGCCGACCTCAAACGATGATCGCAAATTATTGATTTCGTCATATGTTCAGCTTTCATCGACACTGTCGAAATGACTTCAAATTAAGTGATCTAGGTGTAAGTTAGTAGCATGTTAAATGAGTTTACACACTCAGACCGATGATCTTTTAGTACTTCAGCCTTCGTCTTTTGCATCTCGTGCTTCTTAATATCCATTCCTTATTTTAATAAAAATTGATGTATTTAAATTAGTTCAAACTTTACTGCTTTCCTAAAGATAATGTCAATCTTGTTATTGCGATTAAAACACAAAGTAATTTTATTTGGATTGCTTTTCCATAAATACAAATATGAATATACGACTAGTAACAGGAATTATTGTAAACTATTATTATTTCGTTATTTGTTGTTTTTCTTGTTCATGGATAGATGGATATATTTTAACACCAAAACTCCAGTACCATAGTAAATTTTAAGTAAGAAAGTACTGAGCAACTTCAAACGTACAGTAATGTCAAGTCACAATTCTCTTCGTCCCTTTTACAACCATAGCTGTGAGTTTTATTTTATGCATATTTTTTATTGAGGATATATACATTTATGTGGCTGACAAAAGCCTCGATAGTATCTTTGTGCGTTTTGTAATCAGAAGATATGTAATATTGGATTTTTAATTTTGCTCTTTGAGTTAATACCTGATGATACAGTCATTTTTCTTGTACAAAAACTAGGAATCTGTTACAAAGTAAATTTTCATTCTATTGAATTCAATACAGCTTGATATCTTGGTCAACTTTACTCAGATTTTTTCACCGACCATACTAATCAGCGTTGACCTTATGTGCGTCGGTGGCACAGTGGTTAGGACTCTCGCCGACCATACACATGGTCCGAGGTTCGATCCCCTGCCGACGCACACCTGATAACAATGGTTGGTCTGCAAAATTGGGCTAACGATATTGCATGCTGAAAATTCCATACTTCTACCAAAAATACGGTGTGCAATCAAGCTGTAATCAAAAATAAACAAATATAAAATATATAAGCATCTGACACAATTCAATAAAAAAAAAACAGTTTTATCTACTTACACACAAGGCACACAATCCCACAGCTTGTGTACTGGAATATGTAGGCTCCTTCCGCAGTTACGAAGGTTGTAAACAGTGCACAAGTGAAACTTCCAAACGACTAGAAATTTATCAGAAACAAAACACTGTCTAAATTTTGGATGACATCAATACAAATTTTACAAAATGTAATCGCTCAATTCAGATCACAAAGAAAAATACATTTCGGTTTATGTTTTCCTTACGAGATACTAAGCGTTTTGGGTTTTTGAAAGCCGAAAAGTCATTTTAGCAAAACAATTCATCTGGATGGCGACTGAAATACGATAATTTTAAACTTTCGCGCCAGAACTATTCACGCGAATATTTTGATAAATTGTATTTTTCCTAAATTGTCATCATACCATTTCGCGAACAAAAAGAAAAATATGCCCACTGAAAGACATCTTTGCGTTTCATAATATTTATTAGTTATTCAAACGTTTTTGTCTGGAAACCTAGCTGTTCCTCCCACCCAGTTGTCAGTGTCGAGAAATCCTTGAGAAGGTTGTTTTCAGAACTAAAAATCGGAATTTAATTTTTTCGATAGAACACGATCAGGAATCTGCTAAGAAGTACAACAAGCATCTGGATATTGTATAATTTTACCAATAACAGTGCCATTAAATTTTATGGTGTTTGGAATCTTAAGGATACAACATCACCCGCATAAGATTTAAATATATATCGGTGTTGATGGGAGTAAAAGAAACAATACCAATGATAAATATAATAAAAAAGTTGATTTCATGTTTTCGTGCACATTAAATGTCAGCAGTGATCAGAGAAATGTTTAGTGAAAAAGACACTACATACATTCTCATAATATTCTTAAGTAATTTACTGTATTCATTGGTAAAAAGCTTGGTGTTCCCGTCTAATTATTCTTACAACTCTGAACAATGATACAACAAAGCTATCGATTGTGAAACTTGATTTCGTTTTGTGTTAAAAATGAGATGGTTGTCTAGCTGTGTAGAGAATTTAATAAATTACTGAAACAAAAAGTATTGAGGAAAACATCCCCTCAGATGTACGAAAATTATTGGTCATTATTACTAGTAATTGAACATGGAGTAAACGCATATGATCAATCCGAATTCAATATGCACTTACGAAAGCAATAAAGATCAAACCGTAATTCACTGCTAAATTGACTGGTCCGAATACTGTACCCGTTGCATTTGGAATAAGCACCAGTGTTCCACAAAACAATGTGAATAGAGCGAATACCCAAATCGGGAAACATATTTTCATAGCAAATTCTGACAGCAAAGCAAGATGCGGAAAGGTTATCAGGACAACAGACCAAACGGCGAGCTTTACACACAATGGAATCTGCAAATTGAAAAGTTGGATGTTCAGTGTTTGAAAGTAACATCGTTAAAGGAACAGGAGCAAGTTATACGTCCTGAAATTTTTAACCTATACTTTAGGAATAACTTATTGTAGTGAATGACTCTTCATTCGACAAACAAGTGGCGTATGACTTCAGATACTGAGACCTCTGTGTGAATGTGAATATCTGCATACATAACTGATGTGATGGACAGTACCAATAAAAATTATTATAAGTTGGATGATAAGATTTAAGCAACAAAGATAGCATTCTTAAAACGAGGTAATTTTTTGATGATGGATGGGTAGAGGCGATCAGTCAGTCAACACAAACACTAAAGGCTAGATGCATGATTTTGTTTATTCTCTAGCGACTGTTTCATGTAAAATTGACCTTTCAATAATCACCAAATAAAAACTGTTGGTATATGGGATTTTTGGCATAGTCTATTTTATCAGTAATAAAAATGAACATTTCGTATATAGTCTGATATTTAGTAGTGCGTATGGATTTAAATCTTGTACGTGAATACAGCAAACCGACAAAGCCTGAATTTTTGTTCACCATGTTAAAGCTGACTGATATTCAATACAACGTTAATATCCATCCAATTTGTTTTTCTCAAACAGCAATACTGCAGTAAATTCTACGTTATTATACCAACAAATAAATTAGCAGTCAAAGAATGATCTAATTTTGTACGGCTCTGTGTAAAATAAGTGCGTGATCGTTCCACCAGCTGATGTATCACTGTCGACTTTCAGAAGTATAGCTTACGTCAGCATTGCAGTCAAATGCTAAGGTTTTATTGAAACTGAAATGTACTTTCCTAGACCCACTACATTTTTATCTTATTTGCATTTAAACTCATAACACTCGTAAATTAACTGCTTAGATAAAAGTCGAATTATACGTTCAGAATCACTATTCATCTAGAGATCACAGATTGGGACTACATCTCTGGTGAAGCCCTTGAAAACCATTACGTTTTTAGTGAAATTACGAAATTTTACTTTTCCTTCAAGTAGCTACAGAGTCTCCATCTTACTTTAAGGAAATGAAACCAAACTACTGAAAGAATGAAGTAAAAGGAAGACTACAGGCTTGATTACTGACATTAATTAAGGTAATTAGTGCTAAGAGAAGACTTACTGTCAGGAAAAGATTTTGAAGATTTATTGACTGAGATGACTAACGCATGTGCTGTCGTCCGCTTCTATGACAAATAATTGTTGAAGTAGGAGGAATTTGGAAAAGTGTTAAGTGTCGATCAATAGTCATTAATTGTTGGTGGTACCTGCATAGGTAAATGTAGACCGCCCAATCAGAGTCACAAAAATTTATAGGATTGGGATGTTTAAGATGTTGCGAACTGACCATTGCTAACTTTTGATAAAATAGTTTGAAATCATTCACAACATAATTATCTCACATTATGTTTCAGATTCGCAATTAAGTCATTGTGTCCCTACTTTCTTGTAGCATGTTTTTATACAGTATTTAACGACCTGAGTTCAGTTATTGTAGACATTTTTATGCTGGATGTTTGAAGTGAATTCTGTCATATAGTTTTTAAAAACCTGGTTTTTGAAAAAAGTCTTCAGCTGACAACTTCATTCCATTTATAGAAATATCTCCTTAAATATGAATTACAATCTAAGTAGCAAGTAAACCACTTCAGGAACTTAGAAAACGCTGAATAATCAAAATGTATTAAAAAAGGTCACTGTATATACACTTACATTCTATTTAACTGAAAACTCTACGACAAGTATGTTAGTCGAGAGAAACGTTTAAAATGACGAAGATACTATATGAAGAGATTGGATACAACCACCAGAGTCATACTCTAGTGTTTTATAGATAAAGCTTCGATTCAGCTACAGAAATAACCATTTTGATAAAAAGAATAGTGTTTGTCATAACCGAAAAATACTGTATACTTTATGGGGTTATTACTAAAAGTAAATATAAACCTCACTGACTTTGAATTAGGAACTTCAGTAATGCAGATGAATTCATTATTTCATACGAATAAAGGACATTCCATTATTAAAAACGGACTTGATAAAATGAAACAACGATGACAGGAGGATACAAATACTAATATTTTCTGTATGAATAAAACAAGTATTTACTAGGATTAAACTCATTTTATTTTAGTGGAATTTAAATAACTAACATTAGCATATTTAACACAGCAGACTTTTATCAAGAGCTGCCTTCACTCCATACTGAAAATCAGATGGCCAGAAATAATCAGCTCCAAGAAACTAGGGGCACAAACCGATCAAGAACCTCCCGTTCAACAAATATGCCAAAGAAAATGGAGATGGATCGGATACACACTGAGGAAACCGGTGGATGAAATCGTATGCCAAGCCGTAAAGTGGACCCGAAGTGGGAGACGACATGCTTGGCGTCCAAAAGGCGATTGTGTGAGGAGGAGATGAAATCTTATGGGCAACTATGGGATCAGCTGAACAAGACTGTAGAGAATAAGACAAAATGGATACGTTCTGTTTAAGCCCTAAGGAATAAGCATAAGTAAACTTTTCCCCCGTTATTATGCAAAGCAAATGATGAGAAGAATGAGGAAAGCCTTGAGTTCAAAGTTTTTGTTCACATTTATCACTGACTATTGTTATATCACTGTTTTAAGCTCACCTATTCACAACAAAGAAAAAAATAACATAGTAATTTTATCATGGAGAAACAAATATTTGTCTGCTGTATATCCATAATAAAATACCCGATAAACCCAGAAAATTGGCAGATACACACATGAAAAAATACGTTAAAACTTGAGATCATACATGCTGAATTTTAGCACGAATTTAAAACAGCTTAAAAGTAAAGATACGAAAAACTCATACCACTGCTTTTACCTTAAATGATAGTCGGTCAGCGACAGAGCCCCACATAATGCGACCACCACAGTTGAATAGCGACGAAACAGTTACTATGGCTGATAGAAATCTGTCGTCCGAAATATATGTCTGACCGAATTGCTTAAAGAAATACAAAATGCAATGAAATTAGGATTACTGTCCAGTGTTTCTTAAAAATAAATCCTATTATAAAACCAATAAAACGAGAATACGATTTTAACACAAATACTATCTGGTAGTTTTATTATGTGTTTTTTTTTCCTTCACGTTCCCCAGTGGAACATAGGGCTTCAAGCTAGTGGCTTGAAGTTTCTGTAGCAGTGTTTATTTTACAGGATGGGGTTGCTAGCCTCATGCCCAACCTTTCCTCTTCGCCAGAATTATTTCTGGCTTAGCGAGGTAAAGGAGTGCGCCGGCCAGGGATCGAACTCCGGACCATGTGCATGGTCGGCGAGCGCCCAACCGCTACGCCACCGACGCACTTATTATGTGTTACAAAGAATGCAACCCTTCTATTCACACAGAATTATGCACTACAATCCAAATATTAGGTTGAAACAGAGACGTGATTCGCATAGTTTTATTGTAACAGAAATGTACAACTAAATGTATACAGAGAGATAGTCACTTAGTATATCTTTCTCTGAATATTAATGTACCTGAGTTTTAAGTCAGCAGACAATACGCATTCAGCTAGACTGTTTAATTATTTCATTCCACGTTTGTTTACTCCACGATATGTTTCAGAAAGATCCGGTAAAAATTGATGTTTGCTAAGCTAACAACTTTGTTTATTTCATTACATTCGCAATGGTACATGCGATTCCAACCATGGGCTTCGAAGTTTTAATAGCGGTGGTATTTTTTTACGAGACTGTGTTATTCGTCTCACACCCAACTTTCTTTCTTTACCGAATTTTTTTGTATTCTTTTACGTTCCAAGTGGAACATAGGGCTTCAAGCTAGAGGCTTGAAGTTTCGGTAGCAGTGAAGTTTATTTTTACGGTATGGGTTTGCTAGCCTCATGCCCAACCTTTGATCTTCACCAATCTTGTTACTGATTTACCGAGGTCAAGCAGTGCGTCTACCTGGAAGTGAACCTTAGACCAGGCTGGCGGTTGGCAAGTACTCCACCAGTGAACCACTGTTACAAGCTAGCTACTTACAGAATGAAATTCGGTAAGATTTGTAACGAGCCTATATTAGGTGCACAAAACCGATTGCAAGTCATATATTCTGAGTAGGACTTCAATAAGAGATATAAAATTATTTTTACTAAATAAATCGTAAAAATATGCTATTTGTGGATACACAGTGTCAAACTTAAAACTTTTCTACCTATTTTTTTCTTCTGACAGCAATTTAGCCTTAAGGTCTCAAATATCTTGTGCTTGGAAACATATATGATATTTATCCCTCACTCTGAGATGTTCAGGTGATGCGTTAATTTGAGCAACGTTTTGTTTGAAACATTAGCAAGCATACAAAAAGCTTGTTTGGTATTTGTAGACATGATATCCAAGTATTTAACAAAGGACGCTTGTACTACAAAGCAATTCTTTGTGATAAGTGGATAGTGACAGTTAATATGAAAAAGCTAGTTGTTTTCACTACAGGTGCTTGACTTACATCTCCCGTGTTAAGTATTGTTATATGGTGGCACAGCGGTAGAGTGCTCGCTAGCTATGCAGGTGGTCCGGGTTCGATCCCCAGCCGATGCAATCCTTTACCTCGCTAAGCCAGTAGTGAGACTGGCAAAGAGGATAGTTTAGGCATGAGGTTGATATGAGTATAAAACTTGGGCACTTGGGCACAAATTATTGCTCATAATCATATCAAGTTACTCACACAAATTTTTTTTAATTTGTGCTCGAAACGTCATCATTTTATATTACTGTGTAACACTGTGTGATTTATCAAAATAAAATCTTATCCATAATGAAGTTAGGCATGAGGTTAGCAACCACATCCTGTAAAAATAATCACCACTGCTACAGGAAACTTCAAACCGCTAGCTTGAAGCCCTTTGTTTCACTGGGAACTTTAAGGAATAAAAAATTAATTTTGTATGAAAACGTAGCAAAAATGTGAACTTCATTTAGCTTAAGACGTAATGTGTGTATTAGCATTAAATGCGCTTATATTTTTTTATTCCAGTTTCCAGTTCCTTTTATTGGGACATCAGTGATAATTGTCAATGTCCGCAAGCTTACAAGTTAGCATTACTTTAAAAATATGGGGAAGAGGATGTCAGTGGGACTTTAGTGAAGTGGAATTGCATAACAGAGTAGTTTTGTTTGATATAACAGACACTGATACACTATTATTTACTTGTTGATAACATTTCTTGTCTGATTTATTGCTCCCAGCAAAATCATTTAAAATTAGTATGAGCAGTGAGGTGGGCTAGTTACACTACTTCACATCAAACAAAATTATTCTGTTATAAAATCGCAGAAGCTCAGATTATTTAGACTGAAAATTTAAGGTGTTATTTCATTTCAAGATTGCACACCTAGTCCTATAGTTTAGCACCCAATTGTAGACGGAATCGTAGTTAGTTTTATATGAATATCCATCATAAGCAATATATGGTGTATCATAAGATGAAGAAACCATTCAACACATATGAAGTCATCTATTTACGCAACTGATTCAGCTTCTCACACACAGAATTCTGGAGCTAACGTCCATATCAACAGTAGATCGATTTCAAACAATTAAACTTATCAGTTTGACTATGTTCAGTGCAAAAATGCTTAGTGAAATATTAAAAATCCGTGCTCAGACATTGTAAATTATGCTTTTGTAATCTTTCTCGGCGACTTTGAACGATGATATCAATAAACTATTCAGCATGTTAGCTCAATTTGTGTAAAATAAATTGAATAACAACGAACATATTATGACAAACAAAATACATTTCAATGAAGTTTACCTACTTTGTAAGTCGATGTGATTGTAGTAATTGGAATAATATTGAAGAACATCACAAGCCAAAGTAGATAGAAATCGATGCATCGAAACAATTGCTTTGGTGATACGTTTACTTCACTAATTAGGCAGCAATAAAAAAGACCAACAGTTTATTTCAACATCATTTTAATGGGTACATTTGCATTTCACAAAAATATGACACTACTGGACCCTTAATGAACACCAAGCAGAAAGATTTAGCGCTTAACGTTCTCTATCAGTCTTTTACTTGCATAACACAGAGAAGACAATATCTCTGAGTATGACTACTAAAAAGAGTGATTTTCCGCTGTCTAGCACTTATACGCTTGACTAATATGGGAGTTAAAACACACTATTAATGAACTTCTAAAGCCTCCTAAAATTGTATCCAGAAAGCAGGAGTTATATATTCCTCATGTCATATTGCTGCTTAGTTACCGTAGATACCACAATGAGAAGTTGAAAAGTGAGAACTAGAGACTCATATAAATGAAAAAACAGGTTGAACGATTAACGAATATCTTGTAGTCAGCCTTAGTTTTAATTCTTGTATAATAAAGAGAAATTATAGACTAATGGATGTCTTATATTTAAAATATAGTAACGTCAGGTTCATTAACAGGTTAAACTTTAGAAACAAAATAACCAGGAACACAAATTAACATGAGTTCACCAATAAATTACCTGTTTCTCTCTTGTAGAAAAACATTTTTATATTGTTGAAATATGCGAAATTTGTCAAGAAAAAAAAGAATACACACTTGAAATAAATTTAATTGTATGTTTTATTTAATTTCTCACCGCAGGAAAACAGCAAATCAATTTAAGAGAAAAAGTTATTTAATTCCTAACTTCTTCTTTGCTAAGGAAGCCTTAAAGCTGTGTTGTTGACTCTGACTGTTCCTCCGTTTATTTACTCTAAGTAACATAGTTTCGAAGGAATTTATGAGTGTTACATTATACGCGGATGGACTTCTTTTGTCACCCTCATTTAAGTTTCGATAAGCAACTAATCATAACCAACATTCATTGTTATATAGTAAAGAACATCAACTTGTAATTATTTTATTTTTGAATAAATTGCTAAAGAAGCAGCTACCTCCTAAAGAATAAGTCGACGACGTAACAGATTTTCATAATAGGCTTCCGTATAATTATTTTGCCTTTCCAAGGCCCAACTTTTAACAGTAGTATCTTAGAAATGTCATAATTTTGTATGTTTTATATTGAACTATAAATACTACTAAGAGATAAGTACAATTACTTTCCTAGAGTTCTCAAAACAGTCTGTTGCCAAGAAATCATTTCAATCAATAATCTTTTGGTGGCTGTCAGATGCGTTACTACGCAAAAGAGACTCTTCAGTAATGTTAGTTGCCTAGACTGACATCTAAATTATCCTGTATGCATTACATAATTGGTTCTACGTTTTAATTTGAAAAGCTGATGTTTAAGGGTAGAGCCAACTATTGTACGAAAGTATCGTCATGAGGACCTAAAATGTGACAATCTTTTAGTCATTCAAATATTAAGAAAAAAACTAAAAAACACTAAATTAGATGATCAAAAGTACAAAATAAACGTTGAAAAGATATAAAATTCTATTTAATTCTACTTAGAAAATTAATCAAAATGTACTGAATTGAGAAATTAATTGTGACAGAAATTCTTTTTATATAGGTTTTATTCATTTAAACAGAAGAATTATGATTGCCTAGAAAAATTAAATCGCTTATCTGTGATTTCAACATTCCATATGAAATGAGTCACTGAAGATTTAAATAAGCTCCCATTAGAACTCTTTGTCATCCTCGTGTTCACCGTGCATGTGAAATATACTTGAAAAATAATTATTAGTCTCCTACTGATTTCTGAAAACTTATATTCAGTCTACGCTTTATAAATGTATTGCAATAAATTAGTTTGTTACATGTAATAACGAGGTGACCTTTTCATATGAATACATTTTAACTAATCACAGTATAAAAATGTTGTAATTCACAAGTTAGATTTTTTTATTACTTAGTCAGATTTAAAATGATCATACTGACCTGAAAATCGATTACAGTGCAAAAATAAATGATGCTGAAGGATTTTAGAAATGAGGTGACTGTTGGTTGTCAATGCATTTACTTTACCACTCATCACTCAAATGGTAACTATGATATTTTCACATTATTCAATTGAGAAAAGAATAAAATAATATGGTTGTACTATCAAGAGCCTGATGAATAGGTGACTACATTTCAATGGTTTTAAATAATCGAACAACTGACATCTACTTTTTATATATATAAAGTAATCAAATCTTCGTGAGAAGCTAGAAATACAACGGAGATCTGCCTCAAATGGCCGCTTAATCTATAAACTACGACTGGTTAAATATTGCTTATCAGTAAGACACTAAAGAAGAAGCTGCATTTGATTGCCAAAAACTTCATTTCACTAGTCTGATAATAACGATTTTAAATTTAAAAACGTCAGTGCCGATCCCTTAAAAGTCATTCTTGGGGTAATACGCTGTGATGCTGTAGAAGACTTCAGTTCAGAAAAACATGTGACTACTTGGTTGATTTTAGCGTAAATGTGAGCATAAGCTGAGTCAGGATAACCGTCTTCACCAGTATGATCTGAGATTAATTCTTTAGCGTTTTTTGTTGGGTGATCTATATGGAAGCACAGATGAAAAGAGCAAAAACCTAGTCCTCAACAAAAAGATTTGTTAATGAATTCTTGCACGAAAGTGACTCAGTAATTGCTATCACAATTTCGTCAGTGCACACAGGGGAGAGAAGTAGTAACAGACTAGTCAGGTTGTTAGAAATATTAAAAAATTGTTCAACACATCGGTAGGACGTATATCACAATTTTTTATTGACTGTTTATAAGTCACTCAACCTTCAAATGGCCTCGGTAACAGAAGTAAAATTTCGGCTTTAGTTGATTTTAGATGGCCATTAAGTTTTTCTCCTCCATTTGGTAAGTAAAGAAGATTCAATAAAAGATAGTCATCCCCCAGTTTATTAATTATGAACCTTTGCGGATTATAAGCTGTTACTTCGGTAAAGTTTCCTCACATTTTCCGATTAGTGCGACAGTAAATTTTAGTTATTTCTCTTCGTAAATGACACTGTTTTTAATGGTAGTACGCTTCGCAATTTATACAGAAATAAAAAGAAATAATACACCGATTATAGCAACAAAATTCTTATGTAACGTGAGTAGCATTCTTCCATCTGTAGGTCAACATACCTAAACTTCCATAATGAACTATGCTGCCTTCAAAAAGGCAACAATATTAAGAATGCTCGAAATCTTTGAACAATAAAACCAATCTACCTATAACTTGGCTTCAAACGGTTATAAATAAATTAATATAAACATATATACAGGTATACTGACAGATGGTTTTCGGCGCAGTTAGTGATTAAATCGATCAAGTGTAGATGCAAATAACTTACCTGTCAGCAATCGAAAGAATTCATCATGTCGGTGTTTCACAAAAATACAAATATCCATTTAATAGCATTTTAGTCCCAGCAACTCATCTAGGCGAATAACAATGGTTTTATTATACTTGTTCTTTGAAATCAGTCATTCAGTCATGAGCTTGTAACAAACAGGCTAAGTCAGTAGATTCATTAACTTCTTAAGTATCTTTTGGAAAGTGTTTGGCAAAACTATGCAGTTATTGTAGGAATTTGAAATTTTTGGCCTATGAAATAGTGAAGTTTCAAATTTGGGTCTAGGTAATAGAAGTAGTGATTAGTAGGTAGACTATCAGGTTATTGAAAATTCCGGTCTCAAAACTAAAATACATAGAGTGACGTAATTTCAAAAATTCACGGAATTCTCGCTTAATATTTAAAGATCAAAATATCAAAAAAGAAAGGCCTAATTCCTGGTAAGTAAAATAACGATATGGTTCTTTCACTCTGCAGGGAATTAGGACTTATTGTTACATTCACAAACACTCATGTATGCAAGCTATCTGTAACGGCCTGTTTTTTACATAATCTTTATATGAGGAGAAAACATTATCTGAAGTACCAGGCCTTTCAAAAGGCAACTTTAATTCTGTGATCGTACATTTGCTTGAATGAGTGTTTTGAATTAGGAGGCATTTATTTAATTACTATTTTCTTATATTTTACTCTTATCATAGTTACCTATGGTTTATATTTCTATAAAGTGCTTTGAGTTATACTTCATTTTAAACAATATAGCATTCTATCACTTTTCATACTTGAAGTGTGAATTTTTATTTGAAAATGGTGAACAAGTGCAAATCTCTAGCACACTCTGTTGAAGGTGTTTGCATTTTAGTATCCTTCAGTAAGTCCTATTATTCTCTATCAACTATATTTATTTAATCTCATCGATATAGGTTAAGACTAAAGAAGGTCTCTGAAAAGTTGTCTTCAGTCACTTAATGTGTCAGGACTGATTATTCTTCTAATTTCACCTAATTATACTAGATGTTAACAAACTACCAAATTAAGTCAAATGGGCTTTGTTATTCAGTCTTTATTTTTGCTTCCCTACAGAAAACAGGAAATATTCTCTTCTTTTCAAAGTTGCGACTCGTTAAATACAAAAGAGGACGTAATTGTTCAGCTACCACATGATTAGTATGTGCTGTTGGAAAGTAGCTTGTTTCTGGCAGGAAATAGTTTGTTAGATGGAAGAGCTAAAAGCAGGTTAAAAATTTTAAAAAATACATTTGGAAACCTCATTAACAAGAATCTTGTCTTTATAAATAATAAAGAAGAAACATCTGCTTTAGAAACAGTCGCCTTTTGAACAACAGACTTACTTTGAGATTTGTGCTTTCTGATTCACACTTGTCTGTAAAGAAACAAAGTTGTAAAAAATAGTAATAAAATGATAAATCAGTATTGAAGCTGTAGTATTGTAATAAATAATTTGAGAACTCTAAAATTAATAGTTCAACCTCGCAGTTGTGATAAATGCACTTTTTATTAAATAAATAAAAATAAACACTATATAAGAAAGATAGATGGATGCACTGAAACTACGTTCAGTAGAGGCAACGGAAGAAGTCGACTCAGCTTGTCGTTAAATGTCATAGGTGTCTATCGTCTGATTCTTGAACGATACCTAAGTAATAATAATCATTAGTAATAATAATAATGCCTAATGTTTTCTGTATCGCACAGAACACGAGCTAAGTAGGGTATGGTTGAGTTTTTGTACTTGCTGGTGCAAGCATATAGTTTTCTTTATAGGTGAAGACTAAACATTGGTAGTCTGCAAAAAATAGTGACTAAGATAGGAGAAACAGAAGGTTTATCACAGCATAAGTAGCTGAAGTAATTGATCTGGTTCTACAATATTTTGCCCTTTGGTTTATAATTTGTCATTAAAAGTGCAACAGCTTCACTTGTAAAACTAGACATCACTTACAGGCTGACAATAGAAGTTTAATTGATTAAAAATGCCCATTAAAATTTTCAAAAGAATAGACACGGAACAAAGAGAACTCTTCTCGATAAATTCATCATCAGGTTCTACAATTATATATACATTATAATGAATGAATGAATTAGTCTTATGAACGACATTAATGTTTAAATAACATCAAATCAATAATATTGATAAATTACAGCTGAACAGCATCAACATAAAATAAGCTGAATGTCAGAAGAATTAGGAAAGGTAATGCTACAAATTCATGAGTTTATAGTCTCTAGTGAGGGCCAGGGCAGTAGTAGGGGCTGGACTTGTTTCTTTTGAACACAGAGCGCTGGTTGTTTGAGGCGAATTGCAATAGCCTCTGCTGTTTGGAGTAAGCGGTGCTTCGACGATTTTGGTAGTTTGTTAGGCACCCGGTATATTATGGAGAAGGATTCGTCTACGTTGGCTTTGTGACCGGTTTGCACCAGATGGTCTAATATCGAGCTGTTAATACTTTTAACTACACCTTTACTTAGCCATAGTGGGATATGTTCTCGAGCACGAAAAATCAAGTTCCTAGAGCAACGGCCAACATAACTCGCTCCACAAGCGCAGTTGACCAGTAAATTTCAAATCTCATTTATAAATAGGTTTGTAGAATCACTGACAGCATGCAGAAACCTTCTGTAAAAGTGAAAACTGACTACTTTTGAAAGTGCTTTCAAAATGGGTTCGGGAGTCAAATCACCTAACTCGTGCTTTCATGCCACTAGGAGTAATAGAGACTAGCCATATCCACTTCAAAGAACTTTTACGCTTGCTGCATGGTGAGTGTGGTTAACGCTGTAAGTGAAATAGTTTTACTACTGGTTCCTATTTTTAAATTAAAGACTGTTTGCTAGTCTTAAAAGACCTGAAAAGAATGAAACAAAGCTATTCTTATCAACCCTACTTTAGTAGTTGCTCCTTACTGACTTGATAAAGCAGCAGTGAAGTAGCGTGATTTTGAACTGGTTCATGTCATGACACCATGTGAAAGTTTCAGGTTAAAAGAAAAAAATTCAGCAAATAAATATACTGAGTTTTATAACTTTCTTTGATGAATTCACTGTGAGTTTCTTTTTTAATTTAATTTAACGTTCCCTGAAAACGGAAACTTGATCACTTTTTGTTCAATAACACAGATGTTCTGGACAAATGAATCTAAATATTTGAATGGAAATGTTCACGGTACTAATAAATTTGCAGATTCCTATGAATTGTTATTATTATGTTGGCTGAATAAATAATTTCTTTACTTTTCACTGACATTTTTTGTAAGACATCAGTATCCGAATAGATCAGATTATTTCTTTTGACAGTCACATCTGTTGGAGTCAAGTTGAAGATAACAAGAATGATGAAAAACTGAACCAAAATGTCTCAGTAATGAAGAGAAAAGGTACTGAGTTACTCAATAAAGCAACGCCTAATACCCTTTCACCTCTATATAAATGGTGAAATTTGTTCTTAATTTCACAAACTGACAGCGTAACCATATGTGATGGTCAATCGATATGCAACTTTAGTATAATGATAGCACTATGACTAAACAAATAAAGCGCGTGACTATATGCCTATCGGTGAATTTTTCATTAGGACAATGATTAGCCTGGTATCCTTTACAACTGCTGTCGTGAAATCGAGTGACAGAAACAATAAATAATAGTTCAATATTAAAATTAAGTTTATGAAAGTACACTCGCTAATAACTTTTATTACAATCATCTAAGCATATTTCATTTTTGTTTAAGTTTAACAAATGAAGTCATGATGTTGCACAACAATGCATTTTGTAAAGTAGTAGAATCCTAAAAAAAGATTCTACTCGCAAGGTTAATCAAACCATTGTCGCTTTCAAAACTGGCTACACCAAAATTTATGTCTTTTCGTTTATGTAGATGACAAACGTAGAAGAATGAGATTCACCTAATACCTTCTTACATACATTTTTATGCGGCCTTCATGGGTACATAGTCACCATCTTATTGTGTGCTTCAGAAGTTGACGGATGTTAGACAATTGGTCAAAAGTCCATCTACATTGCGTATGTTGCACTCAGGAAAAACGGTCAGTTGAGAAATGAGTATCAGAAGATAAGGATTAGTAAACTGTTTCCAGAAGATCTTCCTGAAGTTTTTCATGTGAAATTTAATTTATTAGCTTTCTGTGGAGACATGGCAATTTAATTTATGATTTTACTTTTACCACCTTAAGGTTTATTGCGATGAATTAGTTTATACAGTTCAAAATGCCACTTCTCTCCGTTTACCATTCTAATAACAGTGACCTGGTTATATATCGTTTCATTTGATTCTATGCAATTTTTAGCTAAATATTTCCTTCAAAAGGCATGTGATTATAAATTCCTTGCTTATTCACTTCATGTGTTCCTAAGTTCACTTGCATCATATTAACCTGTGAATCAATCTGTACACATTTCTTCATGCAAACCAGCCTACTGTGACCTTAAATCACTTTTATGCAGATTAAACGTATACACATATTTGTGCAAATCAGGCTTATAAACTGTAAAGGGAATTGGAGAAAATTTTATGAATTCAGCAATAATATTAAGTCACCAACATTATTTAGGAATTAACTGAGACGTATAACACAGAACAGTGCATAACCTTACATGAAGCAATACTCTGAATAAACTAAGGATCATTAATACGAAATTTAGTCTTCCATTCAGAGTTCTTATAGTTTCTGCTCGTTTAAAATAATAAAGTATGAGAGAAGAATAAGACAGTACAAATAAAATTACTTTGGACATATGAAAAATAGTTTACATTGCACTGAAGAGCACATGACGAAAGACAGTATAAGTAATGGTAATTAAGATGAGCAAATGAAATGAGCATAGTGCATTTAATATCTAATTCCTCTTACATTGGGCTCTCTTACAAAATAAGGATTCATATTTTCACTTATTTATCTTACAATTACAATTTACATGATCCTAGAACTACTTTTTTTTCAAGACGGATTATGTTTGTATTACTGTAGATATGAGTTGAGAGACAAAATATTTATTGTATGAATAATCTACTTATTCTCAAAAACTCTCTGTTTGTGCCTTTATTAATCGTTTTTGTCTGACAAGCGGACAAACCAATTTTATCTCTTTCAAGTTTACTGATACTTGTACAGGAATACGACTATTATTATTATTATTAATTAGTGTCGAATAAGAGTAAATATTCTTCCTCTGACAGATAATAAATTTACAGTCTAATTAATTGTATTGGAAGCTATTATTGATTTTTGTGTATAGAAAATTAGTCTGGCGTTTGTTAGTAGACCAGAGTACAATGAACCTATTCGTTGTATAGCAGAAATTGGTTGAATTTAAGCTTTATATAGACTTCTACAATCTCCACTTTATATTCTGTCACAGAGAGCATAAAACTCATTTTCGCATAGATATGCAATAATATACATATCTGATATTTCAAACCAAGAACATTTTCACTTGTCTATACATCAACTCGATTGTTGCCACGTTTTAGAATACGCTGTATATGGAATATCACTGCGTTTTTAATACGCCTGTTGATAGTCTTACTTTGTATTAATTTGTGGACAGCAAATATGATATTTACATACATCAAGACTGTCGTACCAAACATTACGTTGATGTACTTTTTACAGAAATTGTGTATTTTTGATGGTTGCTTCAGTGAAGTTGTTGCTATGGTCTTCGAGTACACCATATAACAAACCTACTTCTAGACGTAAATATTATGTTCAGTATCATGATTTTTTCCTCTTTTTTCTTACGTGTATTATTGATATAAGTAAAAAAAATTGGGCACTGTAGTAGAGTGTAACTCCATCCATCTAGTCAATTCCATACAAATATATAAATGAAGGAAAACGTTGTGTGAGTAGCTTGATATGATTATGAGCAATAATTTGTGCTCGAAACGTCATCAGTTAATATTACTGTACAACACTGTGTGATTTATCAAAATAAAATCTTATCCATAATGGATTTCCCACGTGTACTCTGAGCTGTCTTCTGAACCTATATGTTTTCATATTACATCAATATTAACACTATTTATGATGACAATAATCATTTCACTGCTAGCGTTCACTTGCAACCACTTATTTTTACTTTACTAATTAAAGCTTTATATTTCTATGACAAAGATATATACAATGACAGATAACTGTTAAAGCTATTATCGTTAGGAATGATTGCAATTTTTGTTGTAGAGACACATGAATTTGAAATAACTCATATTATCACTTCAGCATAACAAAACTCTACATAATTCTCACTGATTATCATGGTACAAAATGTGTGCGATTGTAATTGTATGTGTTGAAAAAGATATTATAAAAAGCAAATCCTCATTAGTGCATATTTTTCATTTCGTTCATTGAGTTACTTTTATAAAATTATGGACTTGTAGAATTTTCCTAGAATAAATCAGCTTTAATCTTAGAAACATTTTCCTTTAATCTTTTCACAGTGTACTGACATGCGCAATTTCGAAAAACAGCAATCAGGCATCTACGGTTATAAACTGAAATAACTTCTGATGAAGAATGCGTCTAAATTTTAAACCGTTCACAAGGCATTATACAACTAGCAATTACTATTTAATTTAGGAGAAACATTTATCTATAAACCTTGTAAAATAATTCTTCACTATCACTTCTCAGGGAACAGGTGATTATTGAATAAATTTCAGCAGGAAACCCTTATTAAAAAGCTTTGTTCAAAAGTCATTTATTACACTTAAGGATTATCTCCACAACATAGGTAACTTGCATCAGTCCATTCTTATGCTAGTAGTAATGTCCAAATTCTATGCACTTTGGAAAAGTTGTTTTTTCAAACGATCTTCCAAAGTAAGTTCGAAATATACAGTGCATCTTAAGTGATATCAGTTAAGTCTTTTAAGTGACAAATATCTCAGATGCCTATAATATAAAATATTTTTTTAAAAACTGTGACTTAAATATTTCTTACTTGTTTTGAAGTAGGCCTTGGACGAAGAAGTATGAAACCAACAATCTGAATCCCTGATAATATACCTCCCAGAATTAAAAGTGCTGTTGGTAAGCGATCGAGGAGTTCTCTGTCAGTGAAATGTCTAAATTACAAATACAAATAATTTTTTTTATTTTTCGTTGAAAAAGCAATAATTCTTTTATTTTTGTTTCAGTTACAGTAAATATTTAAATTTCAGAGTTGTTTGTACTTGTAGTATCAGTTGATTGAAGTTCAAATCATCGCCAGTGTCATTTATTTCTTATCGGAAAATATGATCTTCAAGATTAGCAACTTTTATAGAAAAAGATCAGGTCTTTATGCAAATTTATGAAAAACGTCAAAAGATGCAGCAGTTTCTTTCAGTTATAGCTTGGTTTAAGGCAGATTTTTTTATTGCATCCTAAAGGCTTTTTGGTATACGAATAAAGTTCACTTAATAAAAATCACTATTTAGAGGTTTGGTCAAACACTTTACAACAATTTCGAAATACTAGAGCATAAAACTTGGTATTTTATAATGTTAATATATCACAATAGGTGTAATGTGATATCTTAGTTATTTCCAGTCTTTGACCTTATCTTCAGAACTTTCAATGTTAATTTTTGTGCAATCCCAAACTTCTTTAATGAGAATAAATAAATTGTATGTTCTTCATTATTCCTCAGAAAAGTAATTATTACTACATTGCAAGTCAAAATGGCTAATGATTTGCAGTGGTTTTCTTTTTCTATTGATCTGCTACCATAAATGTTATCTTATTTATGTGAAGATTTTTATATGTGGACTGCAAATCAGTGACATTACTATTGCTTTTTATCATTTATATTGAATTTGTTCCAGTTATCTGTGTTCTCATCCTCTATGTGTTTATTTTAACCTAACAGTTGACCCTACTTCTTCATATACTTTGGTTTTGCTTACGTCTTCACAATAATGGTCATTTGATATACATGAATAAACCACTATTATTCGTGACAAAACTATTTTCCGAAAAGTGTAGTCGATATCTAACTAAAAGAACTAAAATTATCTCATTGAAAATGAGTTAGATTTTCAGCTTATTTCAATAGCCAGGCTATAATCCACTTGATAAGCTTCAAAATAAAGTCATGCTTAGCGGATAATAATCTTTCAGGTGTTGTATTTCTGTGAATTTCACCGACCTAAAGGTAGATTTCCCCACGATGTGATATCACTGAGAAACGCGCCGGCCTTGCATTCTACTGCGTCCGTACCACTGAACAGTCTCAAACCTAGGCAAAACAGCCATCCAGTTCACCATTGTTGACAACTGCTCTCTAACTGGAATTCGTTTCGTGACGAAATCTAACGTTTACTTTAAGCTAGATGAACAGTTGATAAACTTGGCTGGAATATGTCAATAAAATGCAAATAGACCGCTTTAAAAAGTCTTTATCGTGACAAAACAGGTGCCCTAAATCCCATTTTAAGCCATATTCAAATAAGGAGCAATACAATATAAATCAAAGGGGCACGAAAATGCCCATTCAGATGTTTCATATTTTAGTCGTTAATTCCAATATCTGAGAAAAATTCAGACTCTGTTCATACTATCTCCAGTTGTGGGTAATATGCCAAGACCTATGAAAATAATATTTTTCAGTATTCTAACTTTCATTCTGACAAATGACAATAAATATAGCTATATGTGTTCAATGGCAAGAAGTAATCAATTCCAATAGGTATATTAAATAAATTCATTAACACTGGTGTACTAGTGTTTCGTTTGGTCTTTACAGAATGATAAAGATTCTTTATCTCTTTCTCCGTTAACTTAAGTTTGTCTTCTGTCACTCATGACAAAAATAAATATTGTGTGTTTATCTTAGTGACCCTGGAAACAAACATAACTTCTCCACCATAGATATAACTTGAAATACAAGAAACAGTTTATTTAGTTACATGTGGGCTAAATTACTCTTGTCTGTCATAACCACCCGGTTGATTGAGATAAAAAGTAACATACTGTGACTAATAAGTTGAAACACAGCTGCAAACCTTGAATATTACTACAATGAAGTATATATCTAACTACAATAGTACAACCGATATCAGTCAACTTTATTAACAGATATATTGCATTATTCAATCATTATTAAGTGTTTCGCTGTATTTAACGGCATACAGTGTTGAGAAAACAGAAACATCCCACTCGCCTCAGAATTTCTTAGTATAAACAAGCTTTCGTAAAATGAAAGATAAGTTGATTAAGTGAATTAACTTCATATATGGTTGTTCATCAGCTTTTGATACAGGTAAAAATGTCACGTAAATACTGAATACCCAGATATTTTGATCAATTGGATGTATGAAATTTAATATCTGTCTTATTATTCAATGATATTTAAAACAGCAGTTTCTAAAGAATAATATGGGTCAGAAAGTGCACGTATTAAAACGAACTAATACAATGTCAAGTTGATTATTTAAGAAATATCTCACCATATTTTGTGAAAATATATATATAGTAATTTATTATATATCTTATATATATATATTAATTTCTGCTGTTTACAGTGCAAACATTACATCATTATTTTTCATCAAGATATTTTACCGAGATTATCCTTCTTAGCGCATGTCTACACCTGTTCAAACTGCATAAAAATATTTTTGTAGAATAAAATTATCTTCCTATTACACTGAAGTAGATTTCATTGTTAGGCAGTTTACTATCAAAATGAAAGTCGTCAAAAACGGTTTTCAAGAGAATTAAAATAATCCCAGAGTCACTCTTCTATTTTAGCAGTCTGAATTTGAATTCAAAGCACTAGTTCTTAAAAAATCAAACGCATGCCTGTCATGCTGACTTAAAATTCAGAAAGTTTTATTTTACTTTGACGTGCATTCATAGAAAATTTGTTCACTTATCTGTTAGCACAGATTATTAAAACATGAAATCAAATAGACAGAATTATGAAATTTTTTATTTAGGCTTAGTATGTCAGAATGAAATTTTGATATTTAAATTAGGAAAACGATAAATTCTCACACAAATAATTTTTCGTCTACCACGAGTAAATAACCTTATCAAAACGAATGTGAATTTTTCGGTCAAGTTTTCTGCTTGAATAAATTTTAGTTTTAACTTGAAATTAATTAGTGTTAAACGTTTATTGTAAGCATTTCTTAGAGCAACTTAGGTTTGTTCTATACAAAGCTCTATGAAACTATTTAGAAATCAAATAAGAATGTCTAAAACTCATCTTATTTTATGAGCTTTTCAAAGATTTCGCTTTCATTTTGCGACGAGAAATTATTTCAAAAAGGCTGTTTGTAATATCTGAAATAATTTATCCAAAAGTTAAACTTTCATAAACAATTCAATGTCATAGTTTCATTGGCAAAATCTTCATTTCCTAGTTATCAGCCGTGACCGACCAATTTACAACCCAATTAAAATCTGTGTATATTCACTCCTCGAGAAAGTTGTCTTTTGAAAACAAAGATATGGAAAGTTTCGCATCTTTTGCATCTTGACGCGAATTTGATTCTTCATTCTGTGATTGAAATCGCTGAAGATCTCTTAGGCTGGTTGCTTCGCCTAGTTAGAGAGGACAGACATTTCACTACCCCCACGTCTACTTATTTTTTGTCGTCAGCCGAAATGATCAATGACATCAACTGAAGTCTAGTGGCCTTTTGACTATACAGAAACTAGAAATCGAAAACGTGAAGCAATATATTGCAGAAATACATGCTGACATCCAGATAGAATGCAGTGATTCTCAGTGCTTGTAATATTATGCGATAAGATTGGGAATTAGTCCTAGTGACTTCAGTGCAGAAACATACAGAATTCTTCTAAGTTCGGAAAACCAAGACTATCTTCATACACTCAATCAAAATCACTTCAGACCTTCCGCTTAGATCATCTAATATAGTTCCTTTATCTCTACTCATTATAAATTTAGTTGAACATACCAGTCCACTATACAAATGAATCCCATGCTGTGATGTCAATCACTAATTCAATTATGATCACTCCATTGTTAATGTATAAACAAAAGTTAAAGTGCATGTTATAAATTTAAACTAGCATCGTATAGTCGGAAATAAAATCAGATAAGGCGACTTATAAAAATCAATGTAATACACGTAGCATAGTACTATTAGGAAAAATTTACGAAAATAGAAATGATTTTATATGTCGAGTGGATTCATTTTTTTAATGTCTTACAAACAGAACTTAGATTATTTTCTGATATTGTAAAATGTGGATTTAAACAGCATGGAACAATTATTGTTTACAGTTTAAGTGTTCAATCTGGTCGAATTCCTGCTGTTAACTTCCTCTTACAAGTACCCATTTAAATAAGTCATAGTTTGCGAAAAATACAATCGTTATAGAATTTCTTCCAGTTATCGAATATTCATATAGATTATTCAGCCATCGGTGACGGATATAGTTTTATGTGCAACTAGTTTGCAGTAAAATTTATTGAGTGAAACACAAAATTCTAAAATATTACCTCGTACAACTGTACCACAATCAGTCGTCTATAATGGTCGCTAAAATCGAAAGATTTAGGCTAAATAGTAAGTGGTCTCAAGAGAAATACAAAATGCACACTATTTAGCTCTGTAGAAGTGGGTGGATATTCTGTTTATGCAGTCCTTGCATTCTCTGTTAGATTCTTACATTCCTTTGATTCCTCACAATAAATATTTCATAAAATTGTAACACCAACTACTTTAATTTCTTCAGACACCTACACCTAATACAGGCAGTTAAACGATAGTCGATCCTGTTTGTAATTTCCGGGTATAACTGTAGTTCACTTAATTTCTGCCTCTTTTCAATACTCCCATCATTTGAGCCGTACAAGGCAAATGTTGAAATCAAAATAAAACCGAAAGTTCCATCGTGAAAAATGTGAATTATAACAGAGATAAGAGGTCTGCAAGACATTTCCAATAACGAAAACACAAGATTTAGAAGTACATAAAAGTCTACTTACCCCGAGGCTTTATTTTGTTATGTTACATACTAGTAAACGTAAAAATGTTCTGATGAAAATAAAGAACAAAAATGAATAAGGTAAGAAATATCTTCTACTAATTGTCGCTATTTAAACGTCACCACTTGAAATATAAAGCTGCTCCCCATTAGCTAAGTGACATGAGATTCGGGTTTCTAAATTCAAGCAAATAGACATGAACTTTAATTTTTGCTATTCCAAAACGTTAAATAGATTTCTCTCAGTCAAATTAAACCACATATTTTTGTCTTAACAAGAACAACTATAATTTTTTACACAACTCCCCGTACCCTTGAGCAAATGGCGGTATTTTAATAAGCAGGAACCACTTGAGGCAAATCTCAGGAAATACCATTAAGTCAGTACAGCTATCCCACAAACTTTAACAGGAATATAATATTTATTGTAGGTGTTTGAAATCGTGGAATTAAGATAAAACTAAGGAATGCTGACAATCAAAAAGCTTTATAGTTTTCTTAACCTTGTTAGGCACTTGTAGAAATGACAACTTTTTAATGAAACCTTCCCTTTTAAAAAAGTTAAGGAAGTTTACCTTGGCCTCAGTTATAGGTAGCAGAATAATATTTTTGGAATGAGAGCCAAACTTAAATTATCCCTTAGCTCAATCTGTAGGTACTCGGTACATAATGATTTAATCACTGTTACACTGTAATTTGAACATAACTATGATCGCATCTATGAGAGCTTTATTAACAGGTAATTGGATAGACAGCCGAAAGACAGCGAATGTTTATCTTTATGCATTTATCTTAGTGCCTAACTCACCGTAATCACCTATCATAGTAGTTTATGATTAAATTGCGATAAAATACAAGAGAACTTAATTTTGATCTTAATCCGTAATATACCACACATTTCAGTCAAAAGAAGCGATGAGCTAAATATTTAACTTAAATTCACTCATCGGAAGAAGTGACTGATAAAAACACTATGATGAAGACACTATTAGATGTTTACAATACTCAGTTTATGCACAAAGGATAGAAATGACTTGTTTTTCAAAATCTTCTCATAACTTCAAATTCCAGGCTAAAGAAATATTTTCAGTTTTACTAAACAAGTCATGATTTACAGAAATCAATTAAAGTCTCATAACATAAATAGAAGCAAATACAGAGCACTCTGTTAGTGAATATATAATAAATATATCCATCATTTTTATTCCAGATTGTTTATTGTAGTGGAAAAAGTTCTCTCTACTACTCGATTAGAATAACGCGGACAGCATTAAAGTCATCAGAAAGATACTATGTTGTGACCAGCTTATATGATTAATTGCAGGTATACTGAAGGCGATTGCAATCAATCCATAGAACACTTATAGAATTGCTTTACAACTGTGTTTTTTAATTGAATTAATTCATAAATATAAGGATAGCACTTTCTGATAATTCTTAACTTTCTGGCAAAACATTTCAAACTTTAATATTGATCAGGAAGTAGGATTACACATAACATGCATTCTTACCACATATGTAGCCATCTGAGTTCAAGATAGTTTAAAGTGCTAGTGGAAAATGAAACAAACACAACTGATTCAGTTGACTTTACACAGCTTTCGAAATAACCAGATGGCTTTTATTTATTGCATTTCATGTTTCTGAATTATATACCAAACATATACAGTCTGAGCAGTCTTGATAGAATTATAATTTTCTTTTCACTTCGTTGTCACCAGGAAGTTATGTTCACATAATGATAGTTTAAGTCAATGAAAACTGTAATCCATATAGACGTATCCAATTTATGGCAATTCGCCTCAACTAGCACAAAATGTTTAATATGTTCCTAGTTTAAATAGTCAAGAAACAACTTCTGAAACATACATTTATTCTAAAACAAACATTTGGCTATCACTTTTAGTTTACAGTCCATTACTAGCCTATGAACAGTAAAAATTCACCCAGTAAAATTAATTTTAGTTCAAGTGAACGTTTTTTAGTCAAAATAGTCTAATCCCCAGGTCGTTGAATCAAAAATATTTTAAACTATTAAGACAATATTGAGGAAATAACTTTTCGAAATCCCTATCATTTCCCATACCCTTCACTGTGCTAATAAAAATTATTCCCAATAAAAAGCACACAAACTTTAGTTTGTGGTATATCAAAATATTTTCATTTTTCAAGTAGATATTTTGTTTATTTGTAAGTCGTTTTGATATGCGTGAAAGATGTCAACATTCATCCCATAGTTTAGAAAGCCTGGAGGCAAAATGTTACGTTGCTTGTCAATTAGTAAGTGGTAACTGCTCACTGATATCATGCAAGTTTCTTAAAATGCAAACTACATTCAGTAAGATATTTTGCCGTACAGGTTGGTCGGCCTTTAGTTCTAAATAAACAACAACCGAGTTGACCCCATCTCATTGTCTAAATGTAAGAGGTATGTTGACTTCTTTAAATGTTCTACTTATTTAAGTAGGCGGATTACAATAGTTTCGTGTAATTAGTTTTTCCATTAAAGTTGCAACTGTTCTCAAAACCAACTCTAGGTTATAACCACAGAATAATAAGACTCACTAATTAGAGAAAGAAAAGGACAAGAACTTAACAATCTGTAACTAAATTATATTTATCAAGCAAAAATAATATTTTATGAGTAGTATGGAAGCTGTTAAACAATCAGCCGCGACTCCTTACTAAGTTGAATGTTGGAATTTTGACCTTTATTTCGTTTGTAACGAAAAGCACAGATTTCCTATAATCCTTATTCATCAGGCTACCTCTAAACAGTTTGTGTATTTAGCCAGTAATGAGTGTGATGATAACAACATGAGGTAATTCATGTATAGTAAAGAGTCAGTAAATATTTAATGAATTTTATTTGGATAGAATTCGATTGTGACAGTAAATAGATTTTCTGTTAATTCTTTATCACAGACACATTCAAAAAACGTTTGTCTTATCAGGTATGAATAGCTGTTCATACAAATACCTCCAGTGTTTGTACTTACCATGAGACCATCAAATTTGTATTCTTTATATAAAGGTTTTACTAAAATGCATCAAATTATGTTAATTCTTTATTACTCCGAGTTCATATAGAAGGAGAAGATTTATTTTTGATGGACAAAAGATAAGTGATGAACTGGAACAATTATTCCGAATTTATTTTGATTTCATGATTCGACTTTAAAAAGCATATTTATCTGTGTTGACCGAAAATTAACAGAGTCAAATGAGGAGCAAAACATACACACTTAACATTTACTCCAATCTTGCACTAGTAATATGTCACAAGAGTAGAATACAGAGTATGCTATTTACTGTGTACAACACGGTCACTTAAAAGATAGATTACTATTTTTCAAATGCCTTGTCATTGGGCATTTTCAGTGAAGTAAAGCAACAATTAGTGAAAAATTCTCTTGTTAAGTTGTGATTTTATCCCTTTTCCAGAAAATAGAAAGAAATTTCTTAGCATATTCATCCTCTAGTTTAATCACTTTGTATCAGACGTTTTGAAGTTCTTTTTCATATACCCTTCTACTATGCTGCGAAGTTAAATGGTTTTAGAGTTCAAATTTCTTTCATACTATCCTGATGCTATGACTGCATCAAAATATTTGTATACATAAATGCAAGAAAAATTGCTCGACCTGCTCAATTGCTACACAGTCACATTTAATTCTCTATGTAAGAAGATGACTGCTCTGTTTAAGAGATGATTTAACTAAGTCTAGAACCAGTCACTATAAATCACGGTAAATCTTGTTAAGAGAAATTTTGATTTCACTCGAACTTATATTCAGTAGTTTATATTTGTCTGAATTGCAAGAAACGATGAATACTCTTAATTGGTTGGCAGCCTCTTCTTGAATCTTAAGATTTTAGACCAAAAGACTTTTGACAGTACTACATAGCGCTTTTGACTTTTGTAATAATATTTTCGTTAATTCATTATGGGAGTCAAATAATCAAGTAATGTAATAATACTTGTTCAGATATTTTTAAGGTTTCCCTTCAGAAAGTAAAAGCCGACAGAATCAGGAACATAAACGTTATATTTATGATGGTTTAAGGGTAATGCAGCTTTGCAATCAGAAGCAGGGTAAGAAGACTTAACCCTCAAACAAAGCTATTTCTCCACATGCAAAACGCGCAAAGAATCTATTTTTTCATTACTACAGTAATTAAAAGTTTTATTCATTTAACTAAATTTCAAGAAGTCTAGTTAGTGAAATATTACTGTCAAATAAGTTGCAAAGAAATAAATAATGATCGGTACGTTTTTGTGTGCTTACCGTGTAACATTGTTCACTTTTATGTTTGAAGGATTGATTAAAGCTGTTTGAATAGGTGCAAAAACCAATGCACCTAGGCCGAATCCACTAACAATAAATCCTACAATCAATCCACGCCTTTCTGGAAACCACTGCAGTATAGAAAATTTAAATTAGAAAAATGTTTTTTTATCATTTAATCAGAATTCTTTGTATTAACAAGATTAAACGCTAAATGAACGATTTGAAGTAAAATTCTGTTCGGTGTATTGGAAAACTGGAAACCGAAAAATTATTAGTGATAACTGAATTTAACTATTTATGCGGCCTCAGACAGCCTCTGAATAACTGAACCTACACTGAGGGCCCCTAGAATTGGATCTAGGAAATCAGACTGTCTATACCTTCTTGATAAACCATATAAAGTACGCTTTTGAACTGACACAAAATAAATGCGATCTGTTTAACTTCCCAATGTGAACTAAAAAATCTTTAATTCAAGTCAACTATCATCCAGAGGCACCATAATCACTGTTGTACATTTGAAGCTGATTACCTGACAAACCACTTTCTTTTTTAAGCCAACAGTCATACTGAATACTTTTGTAGATAAAATCAAGACATAGTCCTAATATACTTCCAAAAGCATTCTGATAACTCTCTACGTCTACTGTTTGATATCTTACAACGATGACGGCGGTCTTTAATAATGAAACAGGTAAAAGCAGCCGTATAGCTGGTAACATGCCAGCTCCTGAAAAAACGTGGAAAACCATACCTTTATCGTTGCCATACTTTGTACCTTACTCTTGTTTAGTATTCTTTATGACTATCAATGTATGTCAGTTATTTATTGTTGATGCCATTACTTTTGTTTCAGGAAATCGAAAAATACAACTTAGCAGCCTGATTATAATGCTTAGGTTATGTGCAAATAAACAGTGTATCATTCTCCAAATATAGTGCTATTCGAGGTAGAAAAAATCTTGAGATCTGTTTAACTCATTTTTATTCTCACATCCCACAATAGCCCATTATATAGGTCTTTTGAATATTATATGTGATTTTTGCGTGTTATACTGCATTGAGAAAATAGAGATGCTACCACTATTCACCCTACTAATAATAAACACCATTTTAATTCGCCCCGGTTAAGTAATATCTACTTTTTTAGACTCAGAGTCCAATTTTTCATTAGCCGACTCAGGTACAACAAGTGTCATCTAACCAGAGTTTCTCCATCCATGCTTCACAAAGTCTGAAAATAAACACATTTTTATTACGCTACCTCATCAAACTTTTTAAAACAGAACTAATGCTTCAAATACTCTAAAACTAAATTTTGCCTACGGTGCCTTGACTGTTATGACGAAATTTGTCAGCCCTCGTTTTGCAGTTAGCGAGTATAATAGATCACAGAATACAACCGCCGATGATTATTGATGATTAAGCATGACCCCTAAAACTTTTCGGAATGACATGTGATCAATAGACTTCAGGCCAAGTGTGTAAATTGTCTGCCTTGAATCCATCTGGAATTCTGACTACCCCTGTTTAGCACGACTTGTGCTTATCCTGGGAAGATTCATCCCTTATAAACCGTAACGAATAAAGATCTATGCCAGTTTAACTGGTGCATTCTCCTCATACATACCAGCATGTAGTTTTCATAAACTGGCCAACAACCAACTTTCAACATTCCTGAAGACTTTACGAGTAAAACAGTTAATCTCCGCCTCTATGTTTTGATTGAAATTCGAGACAGATTTAGAAAACATAACCGCATTCAGAAGAATGTAATTCACAATACTTCGTATAAATATTTATGGATAAAAACGCTGTTTGTCTGAGCCTAGGAGTATTGCACCTGCAAAAAGGTTCAGGAAGTTCAGAGACTCATAAACTACTTAAGATAGTTACAAGTGCTCTAGGTAAATAAAGTTACAAGGGATGAATATACTTTCCCCAATACTTTTGTTTGCATAAACGTATTTCAGATAAAACAAATACTGGACAGCAAATCAGTGCAATATCTCACCAGATTTTTGTGATAGCTGCGTTTCTGTTATCTAGCCTGTCTATTAAATTTTTCAAAAAATAAAAGGTTTGCCTATAGAGAACCGTGTGTAGCTATGGTCTAGATTTGGTGAATATTTTGCATATATTTTACATGAAATGTATAATTCGGTAAATATGAATAGGAAGTCTAATAATTTCTTACTGTGGAAAATTACCGCTGCTTTTCAAGTCTAATAATTCCACATCTTCATTCTTTCATTCCCATTATAAAGACTTATGCAATTACAGCGAAAGATATCATAAGATATGTACTTAAAATTATTACCTTGAGGTTTATAGTCCTAATCTGTCGCGTATATTTAATAATAACAAAGGATACAACTTACAGTTGTTGCTACGGCCAACACAACAGAATAAGCGAAACCCATTCCTATCCCCATTAAAACAGAATAGGTTATTATCACCCCAACAAATGTTTTCTGTATTGTGAAGTACGTAGAAAACACACTCCCACTAAAAGTATTGAAAGCAAAAAACAAACCTGATGTTTTACAGAAGAAATAAAACCACGGCATCTAGTGTACTGTCTGATTTAATTCGAATGTCATTGCACTTAGAACAACTAAAAACTGCTCAAAAATTAAAAATTTATTCTGCCATACTTTTTATTCAAATCTGACCAATAGCCTTTCCTGGGTTATGACCGCTGGAATACATATTTCATATTCTCTTTTATAAGCGGTCTTTTTTGCCTTATCACGGGTGTAATAGAGTTCTAAAAAAGTAAACGAAGTGAGAAAGAATTCTACGCAGTTTATATCTCTTAAAATGATGAAACTAAAGTCAATATAACATCCAAATCCTTTATATCCTCTGAATTCGATTGGTTTAGAAAAGAGCACTCCAAGTACAAATCTGATCTTGAGTGTGATTTAACGAAGTGACTTAGCATATATAGCTGTCTAAATGGTAGATATAAAGTTCTTAGATCATATAAACGCATTGTGTGGATAACACATCAGCAACTTTGTAAGATGAAGACGCAGAATGTAAAATAATAATCTTTACCTTAAACATATGCATACATTTGCATATCAGTAATGATTTAAAATAATGGAAAAAACATTCAGTTTAAAAAAAGTGATCAGCAGTTTAAGTCTACCTGAATGTTTTGAATTTAAAGAGGAAGATAAATGAAACTGGTAAACGAAAGCTTTTACCTCAAAAATATACAACTTGTTGCGACAACAAGTCTAAAGCCCAATTTTTTAGCCACCAAACCACCAGCAGGCATTGCAAGTCCTTGCATGCAAAATCCCAAAGCCGATAGCCATATAGCGTCTTTATCGGATATGCTAGAATCTACATACGTTCTTAAATAATCCATTATATAAGGGATCATATTTGCTGAGAAATTAAGATTATAACAAAATATCTACTTACAAATAGTATAGAAATAACCGAATGTGAGGTGCAACAGAACTCCACCGAATACAGCAAGACATCCTTGAATGACAGTTTTCTTGCTATTTTCCTAATGAAAAATGTACTGAAATGCACAATGCTACAAACCATTTTACGTCACCGATAACATATACAGTGCAGAGCACTAATTAAAAGTTAACACTTTCCTCTTTAAAGGATTATAACAAAATGTGTTCAATTGGTTCAAGAGGCAAACACTCCTTCCAATTTTACGGGTTTTGGAACCTGAATTCCGGAAAACAGAAACTTTATACTCTACTATAAATTATCTTAATTAAAATCTGCTGAGAAATAAACTGGGATAGTCTATACATTGTGTAGACTAATACAAATCGTTGTTCAAACCATGTGATTTTAAACTTCAGTCTAGGTCATGGCCACAAGATTAGAAGATTTTAGTGGCCATTGAGGAGGGACCATCATATTAACAAGGGCCCGCGGATGAAGCTTTTCCTGAGGTTCCGATACAATTTAAAGCGGTTCATAAGTTACTCATATACTATATTTTCTCACCTGTCAGCTGATTATTATTTGTTTGGCATTTCCAGATGTATGACCATATTATTTCACTTTAATACTGCCACTTCAGAAGATTATTGTTTTAACATCAAGTAACCCATTTCTAAGCACAAATTCAAGCCGGGTAACTTATATAAAAACAATATTTCCAGTCAATAGCAATCAAATCAGCTTTGAATTCTATAAATAGTGAACAATAGGGTGTTACATCTGCAAGAGTACAAACGCTCTACTCACCCGATTTACCACCACGGCTTGTCTGCTTGAACTTCATGTTTATCTGCACATTTAAATTTCAACACATCTCCGTGTTGCCATTTCTGTTGCGTATGCTCAGAAAGACTTAAGTTATTTACTCTCCTTTAACAGTGCCCGGATGACGACTTACTCAGCGTCAAATAACAATATGCAACAATTTAATCGATGATAAAAATAATAGTGACTTCAACAATAAATTATGAGCAAACAAACATAGTTCAATCACACAAAATGCATAGTCCATACAAAATATACTAGTAGAAGTTTCAGAGACTAAAGGTATTGACGTTCGCGAATTATACGGAGTATACTAACGCAAGATCTAATACCAAAAACTTCCAAAGTATTAGTTCCGCGTAGACCAAAGGCAAAGCAAAACACCAGGATTGGCCGTCCAAATAACGAGATATATTTCGGGGCTAAATCGGAATGGGAGATGATTGCTTAGCTGGCTAGTGATCGTGCACGAACGTGACACGACGGAGTACCAAATGGCGTGGATGCTTGACCGAAAGCCTTCAGCTAAACAGGTCGACTTAAACAGAGAGGGTCAGCATCCAATGTTCTGTGATGATTGCTGTGGTCAATAATTTTGGGGAATTATGTACCGCTACAAAGTATGAGCATATGAAACATACATTAGCAGCTTTTTGTGCAAATCCATCCCCCCTTATCTATAAATTTTCGCTTCATCCAGTTTTGCATAGCTCAGAGTCATCACGACATTTGCCGACAAATCTCAATTTTAATGCTTTCAATATGCTGGAAACAAGTAGTTCTTTTAGTTATTCGCGCTTGTTGAATGTCGATTGCCTCCCATGGTACGGAATTCAAACTGTCCCGTGTTACCTTCACTATCAACATATCTAATACACCCGATGCGTTTGGCATTTCATGCGCGCAACAAGAAAATATCTGCACTCCTGAGAGCTTGCTTGCACCTTCACTTCACAATCACTCGACAAATTCAAAAAACTCCGAGTAGGCTGTTGGGAGTCCATCTACGACTTTGCGTGGAATTAGTGTTCCCCAAGTAGTGGATTAAACACAAGGAATAATTGATTCTGAACAATTTTGTGTCGAAATAAAATTATTTGCTCCAGTAACATAGTCATTAGTTGGTGGAGTTATATACCTATACCAGGTGTAAAATAATGTGTTTGTCAGTTGTTTTAAACTTTTTGATATCAGCTGATCATGAAATATGAGGATACGGGATGATTTGTTTCGAGTTAACGGCGTTACGATAGAGATGCTCCCCGAATCTTACTGGGAACAGAAACGCGTCTGACAGTACATCCGCCACAATATCTTTGGGCTACACAGCAACATATCGCGGATTTTACTTGAAGTGGATTTGAAAACTCAAAATTCGTCGTTACCTAGTACGTAAAGATATCTGAAGTGTGTTCCATTTTGTCCTATTATTGAGTTTGATTTCATGGACTTACCGCCTTTTGCTATTATCCTGAAGCTACATTATGTGAATTCGCACAACGGCAATTCACAGGATTATCTTGGAATCATGTAGACGCAGTGTCCGACATTTATTGGAGCTATGGAAGTAAGGTTGAGAAGCAGTTGATATGTTCAGTTAGGGAGGACTCATCGATCTCTGCAAGTAATGGCTGGCTTCAGGGCATATTCCTAAATGTCTCCAGAAGTGAACAGAATCTTCAGAACCCATTAATGGTGAGAATAGGAGACCTATCTCCTCTATCGAGAAACATAAAATTGACGTCAACACATGTTTTAAACCTATCTATAAAACGTGTTTGGGGCGTATCCTAAAGTTTTTGAGAGCCCTAGTTGGCAATTAGGAAGTTTAAACCACTTTCATGCTTTCTAAAACAATTCGTCATCACACTAAACCTATCTTCCTTGGTAAACTTTGTTTTGATACCGGCCAGGGTGGATGCACTATTACCTCTCTTATTTGGTTTAGTGATCTTCATTGTTATTTGATCTTCAACATGTCTTTTTAATTTGACCTAAGCTTATTTTCTCACCACTTAAATCTTTGTTAATTTCATATATATTCCTAAGGCAAGTTCGTGTGTGATCAAATGGTTCAGAATATGTTGCGCAAATACAACATTACACGAGTCAGATATACTCAACTCCTGTCGGAACAGCTGAAATTCATAAACCTTCCTCACGCTAAGAAAATACCCACAAGCAGTAGAAATCCATTAATTAATGCGTCTGAATCTTATGTATTTACTCCCAACAACGACATTGCAGACCAAATGAGATAAACATATAACTGATTTCAGAATAACACATCAATGAACTATAATTCGAGGACTCTGCACACAACAAAGTTATGTATGAATATTTACTTCAAGCTTTATTTTTTTCCCAGGCACTTATAATCCATCCACCAAAGACCTGGTTTTTTTGTTAATGCGAAGACAATACTTCTGTATTTCCTGATGTGTTGCACTCACTGACAATCTAGCAGATTTTTCCAACTGTGCACAGAAATGATTGTATATAAGTGAAAAGGCTGTTTTATACTACTTGGATTAACATTTATCAAGTGTATATATAATCTCCAGCGAACATGGGAGGCATATCTGGCTACTACCTGTAAATTGTGATTGAATTATATGGTTCTATTTCTGTAACAATTTGATGATGCCTGTAAACTGGCGTCCCTCATGTACTGTACTATGAGAATAAATTTATTTATTTATTTATTACGTTTTCTTATTGCTTTTTCTAAATATCCACTTGTGTCAAAAGTGGTGAATGACAATATACAGTCACAGGCCAATCTTTGTCTTTTGATATTTGCATGGCTCATTGAATCGGAGGGCACGACGGTCAAATGGGCATATTCGACAGGCGCACACATAGCACAGGGACTGCGGTTATAATTCAATTCAGTGTAGTTATAAGAAATAGGCGACGGGGATATTTCAGATCACTGAAGTTATAACGGATGGGTTTTGGTATTTCCTGATTCTTTGCGTTTTTCTCAGCGTAAAATGATGGATTTCAACACTATTTTCTGTTGATTAATCCATGTCTACCATTTCAGTGTCCTCAGAAGTGTCCTTATATGACACTGAGTTAATTAGTCCGTGCTTGCGAAATTATCTGCTGCATATGGTCTTCACGAATATCATTAGGTGGAGTACTGCATGAAACGTCGTCTACACTCGCCCTAAAAGAGTTATCAGCATTTAGTGTTCCTCAGCGGCGTCCACTTTGGCATGATATTAAGTCAGGTGCAACCCTAATATTAGTGTAGAGTACTAAAGATCCTATTATCTTACCAGATATCAGAACATTTCTAACTTCTTCAGTGGATCCTAATTCGAACAAAGCTGGACATATGTGGTTTGCGGATTTCTCGCAAAGACGCAAACCACGACGGCATTTTACAAGCCTCTCGACATCAAGTTTTAAGTTTGGCAATAGGCTCTCTGCCTGGTATGTTATAAGACGAAAACGTTATATAAAGACATAATCCTAATTAACAGGGAATATTAATAATAATATATATTTCACATAAATTAAGCATTTACATGATTAACATACCGTTTGTACAGGCATGATCATATTCGACAAGTGCAATTTGAACTGGAACACTTTTTTGACATTAAAAATTGGAAAGATGGAAAAAAACTTCTAGAAACTTTGTTAGAATAGATTACAATATATTGGTTCAAGTCTAATTTATAGTCTACAATATACTTATAGTCAGTCAGATCCATGCGGGAATTACGAAATGCTGCGTTAATGGAAGGTAAGAAGAGAGGTGATAAACATGTGCTAGAGTAAGGCATACAGGATACAGGCTTTGTGATCATTATCATTTTGTCAATTAATAAATGTTCAAAAATTTATAAAACTCCACTGTAGCGGGTAAGTACAACAATATTTTGGTATTAAGAGATACAAGGGACCAACTTTGCGATGATAAACAGAATTCAGAATGGAATTTGTTCCGAGTTCGTCGTGTGTGCCAACAATATTCTGAATAACGCTCAAGTAATACAAACGTAGAAAGCAGCATTACTGTTCATTTGCAGTGCTTCAATGCAATACCTTCGAGAAGAGAAGGAAGAAGAAAACAGAAAGAGAGGTGCAGAGGCAGCCAGCAAATAATAATAATTTAAGCAAACAATATGCGATAAACGCAGGGTTTATTCCCCTATTTTGTTACTAATAATTTAGAGTCATTGAGTTTTATAGTGTTACATACTAACAGTTAGTTCAAGTTGGTGATAGTAAACAACAACAACAAAAAATATAGAATAACAAATTTTTAAAAAAACAAGGGCAAAACGAATAATGATTTTTAAACCTATATAGGATAATGGGAATAGAAAGTGGAGAAGTTAAATCCAAACGCCAAATTACATAAAATATATAGAAGTGAAGAAAAACAAAAAGAATGATGATACTTATTCATGCTGTTGTTCTGATTTATACAGTTAGATGTCCTCCTGAAGTAGAGAAATCGTACCATGAGCATGTTTTCAAAGAGTTTATACACAAGCTTTGTTATATAGGCAGCTATTATTTTATTTTATTATTATTACTTTTTTTGAAGTCATTCACACTCAGGAACCTTAGCAATAGAGCGCATTCCCACAGATAAGGGTGGTTCTCTTAAGTCAATAATACTGTGAGACTTTATCAAAATGAATTTCACCAATTATGGAACGATCCTTTAAATAGCTTCTTCAGCCAAAAAGTCAGTTATGCGCTTGGATTTGATAATCGATTCTAGACATATGTTTTGTGATAGCTCACACAGCTGCGTGGGGAGCATAATGCTGTCAAACTTGCTCTGTAGGTCTGTTATTGGTTTCTGAAGTATCCGAAAATCTTTTGTGCTCCACTATATCAGATACTATAACTCTGGGTAAGTGTGGTGATAAACCTGTAAAATCGTCTGCGTAACTGAGGCCTTTAGATGATTAGAGCGTATTAGATATCATTGTCTAAACAGTACGTATACGTTTAACAGACTTAACCACTGCAGAAACAAGAATTATCACCATATCCGGAGGAATGTCTTTACGATACAAGAAAGACTGTTGTGACATCAAAGTCACAGGAATAACGATAAGCAGCTATTACCGAAAAATATATAGTCAGTCTTCCCTCAGCACTAATTCCTGGGAGATAAAATCCCTAGTTCCAGGTGGTAAGAAAGGCTATCAGAAGATTCCAAGATATAGATTCCACGAGTGAATGCTATATGGTTCCAGGTGACAGAATACATTCTTTGTTAAATATGGATGTGTGCATTTTGTAAGAAAAAGAGTACGGCAGAATGATTCACTCAGAAACAAAACACCTGCAGCGTGACGGTTCGAACTAGTTCAGAAGCCTTCAGAAAGCCGTACAACAGACAAGTTTCAACATCTACCAAAGTTTGACAACGTCGTAAATATAACAGATATTTCAAATTCTTTCGAACTGTAAACATATGCATCCAAAGATTCTTATTGCTTTTTGGAGAATTTCGCTAGCCATTCCCCATAAACTCAATATCCTACGGGAAAAGGATGTAAAACAAAAGAAATAAACATTTACGTATAACAAGCGCTTCCGCACTTTGATCATTCATGCTTTTATAAGTGGTTAGCGCTTCATGGGGAATCGAAAATTTTATACACGTCTTTCATTAATATAACTATAAAATGTACCTTTTCACTTTTTATATGTGGCTGAGAAAAATCCGACTCTTAAATTCAATGTTATTTTGCATGGATCTTGACTGTCCTGTAAAAGTTGTATTCATATGAAGCAAGCAACATTGATATTATCGCCTTCTACAAAACATTTATCCCATCACATATCAAAATAATGCTATTGCTAATTATACAACTATTAAGAAAGCTATTAGTACTAATGTGGGCCTTAACTTCATTTTGTCTCTAGATGGTTTAGCTAAAATCTACAAGCAGTGAATAACACAGATCTAAAATTAGTCAGACTACAACGTTGAAAAATTTTTGTTTTAATAAAGTTGATGACCTACATCATCGTGCAATTAACACCATTTAAAATTCTTGATAGATTACGAGGTTACCGACTCTAATTGTTACAATGGTGAGCTTCGGATTTTGGAATGATACTGATGAATTGTAGAAAGAAAAAACGCGTAACCTGATTTTTGGAAGTATTTCCGTTTTTGGAGGCGTTTTAATTCATTTTGCTTATGGATTCTTCTACAGTACTGGTAAGTTCTCATCAAAATAATTATATGTCAGCAAACTTGATTCCTTATATGATGGGATATACTATAACATACGTCGATCCAAATGTGTCACCCACATTGTCTATATGGCTGTCTGCACTTGCCCTTGCCATGGAGGGTGTATCTATGCCTTTTGGTGGTGTTACTGCGAAAAGATTTGGTTTTCGTGTCGTTGTGGCAGTCAGCTGTTTACTCGACAGGTAATCAAATATTCCTGGTTTTCAGTTCAAAACACTGTCTTATATGAGTTAGAAGTAGTTTTTATTAGTCTGTCGGGAGTTTATACTCTAACTTAATGTTTTGAATTTGTCCTCTGAGACCATATGAAGTGACTTCACATCAGGTTTCTTCCCAGTAATATTTCCAAAAGTTTTGGGATCAGGCATATGTCAAGTGCATTTAGGAAATAATGCATTTGTAATTTCCTCCAGTATCATGTTCACTACTAATTAATCCTTTTTCCCTGACTCCTGCCGCGAGAAGAAGTTTAAGGAAATATATTTTTGCCTTTTCTCTTTTAGTGCAAGCATTTTGCTGACATATTTCACAATTCAGAAGACTTTTGTTGGTGTTGTTATTACATATGCTGTGTTACAAGGCCTTGGTTTAGGTTTCGGTTATTCTGTGGTCCTGGCTGTAGCGTCCACGGTAAGCAATTATTTCGCAGTATTGTAAAGAACGAAAACTCATATCTCGTTCTGAATTTAATGGGTATGCTTTCAAAATTTTTCAAATCCTAAATGGTGAGTGGGACTTTGAATTCCCTTTCACATCGAGAATACAACTGTAGACAACTGACTTAGTTTATATATATATATATAATTCATTCGGTTTATCACAGGAAATGGAGTCGAATTAAGCTGTTATGGTGTTTATTCATCATTATCGATGATGTTGGAGAAATTCCTATAGGCGATTGTGTTTTTATAGAAACCGTACTCTTATTGTCGTTAAAAATAGCACCTTTGAACGTGCAGTTGCATTAAAACGAGGGATTTTGACAATGGTCTGCAATAATAAGGTTCTGTTTGATTTTTAAATACGTCAATAATAAACTGCTGTGGTGCTTAGTTTTGGTTAGTGAGTGAATAGCCAAAAGTCCTTAGATTTTTAGTACCAAATCTCAATGAACCGCCTATTAAAGCCTGTTTGAAAACGTGTACATATGTATTTGTTTTTTGGATCCTTAAGCTATAAAGAGTTTCAACACTTTTGCATTATCTAATTTACGAAACTCATTCGATTATCGATTAACAGTGGTTTCCGGAACACCGTGGTCTTGTAGTCGGTTTGATCGTTGGTGGTTTCGGCTTGGGCGCTGTAGTCTTTACCCCCGTTCAAACGGCGTTAATCAATCCAAATAACCTCCCTGTTAACAATGTAACGAGGTAATAATATTTATTTTTTGAATTTGATCGTGAATGCTGAAAAATTGAATTTTTTCGGAAGCGTCATAATTCAAAACCAATTTAGTGTATTTTATAACATAATATTTGCAGAAATAGTATATCAGGAAATCCGTTTTATTGCATCTAATTATGCTTACTACTTCACCGGAACCTCACAGAAAGCACTTATATTTTCATCTGAGTTTTCACGTATCCAGACCGACTAAGTTGAACAAGAAGTGACCCTTAGCTCTTAATTTTCAGCTATCCTTAGGCTGATAACATTTGTGAGGGAGTATATATAAATCCACTTGAATAAACTGATTTAAGACGAAATACACTGCTTACTATCTGGACGCCAATTTCTGGAGTTAATTGGCGTTATAGGTTGTTATTGTGGTAAATTTATAGAGCAACTTTTCACTAGGTGATATAGTTTTGAATCTTGGATGAAACTCCAACTATTCCAGAGTTGTGGACCTTGTTGCAGGTAAGCGATGGCGTGACAAACAGAGCTATAGAACTTTATCAATATACCAGAGTTATAATATAATTTTAGGAACCTAATAGTACTTTTTATTGACTTTTGATTAAAAAAATTGACATAACGTGTAATCTCATAAGTAAAACTTTAGGGTCCTGCACTTCTTAACTTTCATTGGCTTTCGATGCATGATTAATGATTAAAAATAACTTCAAATCAAGAAATTCCCTAAAAGCAGTGTAATTTTTTTCTAAAAAGAGCATGCGAATACGGACTACAGCTTTGAAATATTTTCTGATATCTGCACAGTTTATATTAACTGCTTGAAGTAATCCACTACGTTTAAGTAAGGTAGACAAGAAAAAACCAATTATCCCATCATATTCTATTATGTAAATCTGCTGTTTTCCTTCAAACTAGTCTAAATACAATTCGTGCCATACCCAAAGTAGTCAACGTCAGATAACCTTAAAGGCAACATATAGCAAAAACATGAGTTACGTCTTAGGCCAAGTATAAAAATAGGAGAAACAAATAAAATTAAACTAAAAAAGTGAGAAGAATGGATAATAACATGAAGAATAATTATGTTTTGGTGAATCCGGAAAATAGCAAGGAGTGAATGCATCTGCGTCATTGAAGACGATTTTGAGTCATTTCAGCAGCAGCCACCATTCATTGATCTTTAGCACCATGAGGACTCTAATCAAACGGTTTGCACCTCTTTACGAGCCCTAACCATCAGCCAAAGGACTTCGTAGGTTTGTGCCATATTTTTTCATGACCTCTTTTAGTTCATTTTCAACCTAATCCTATATCAGTTAATGCTTCCTTTCATCAAAGACGGTTACCTGGTATATGGAACACGTTTTCTGTCCATCTCAACTGAGGGAGTTTCACAGCTACATGGATGGACTTCCTTCCTTACTTCATATTGCCTCTAACAGGGTAAAGACATCAGTTGTTTGCCACCCGAATTGCTAAACAGTGAAAGGAACTAAAGCAAGTAAACCTTTACCTGAAATAGTTGAGAGACAACACACTAAAATTCATCACTTATTCATACAGCACTTTATGTGTTCATAGTGAATACCAAACTACATAAATAAGGTTAACTACATAAGTAAGTTGAAGAGTAATTTGGAGAGCACATACTCTGATGCAGCTTATATTTGCAGCTTCACTAAGTGCTTGTAATTTTGTATCCTATTTGTCTCATAAGACCATGTATTTTGTAAACTTTCACACTTCACTGATTTTAACAGTGGTACAACTGCCACTCATTTTGCCAACTAACCTCAGCTTTATTTAAAGGTTCAACATATCAGATATAGTGATATTGCCTTTGTGCCTAAGCAAACGGTTTAGATCTTAAGTTATAGTAGTAAATAGCTGAACATGTTCCCTTCAAGTTGATACATATTTTAAAGTTGATAAACAGATTAATATACTGCAAGCAAACAGACAAATTGTAAATTACATGCATTAACAAATGGTTTAACTCTTCTAATGCTCTTTAATTCAGAAAAATCATCTTTCTTACAGATATATGTTAGTAATGGGCAATCATAAATAAATAATAAAAATGGTGTTCAACATTTTTCAGCACTGAAGAGCAAAATCAAAATGCTTTTAACTAAATAAAATTAACTATTCCTTATTGATCCTAGGTTTGGATAAAACTGTTCCAAATTTAGCCTTTGAATTTGGACAGTATCATCAAACCCAATACAAAACCTGTGTGTCATTGTCTGGTACATGGAAAATATGTTACAGGCAACTGCGTTCTAACTAACTTATTCCTTATTAGAACTGAAAAAAGAGAGTTTCATCAGAATTTGATATATTCCTTTATTTCCACTGAAATTGTGTGAAATTGTGTATAATTCCAGAAAAAGTGTTTTCACCTTAACAATATAAACAGTGCCATGCAGAGTTCAAATAACTCAAAACGGTTTAAGAAACCTCCTTATAGTACACCTTGCATAATATTTTCGGGCGAAGAGTATTTTCAAGAATTGCCTCTTTCAATATAATTCCGCAGATTAATTATCAGAAATTAAGGAGTTCCTTGAATCTTGTAGTCGTTTCTTTTTGAGATATGATTAAGAAAGCTCTGCACTTATCTAATGAATAAATGCTAAAATTTTCATGACTAATCAGTTCGTCTAACCATTCCATGGTACTGTGCCTGCAGTGCTTTTCAATTAATGTAACCTGTTGGGCCTGTTGTTATTCACATTTAACCTTACATTCACTTCATTCAGGTTTTCACCGTGATTTATGTTCATTTCACAGCTTCATTATAGTAAATAAAACAGGTTCTGTTTGTTTTGTCAGAAATTATTTCGTCTTTAATGTATTGGATACGGATTTTGGTCTGAAATAGGTCTCGTCAGTAGTATAAAGTAATGAATGAGGCTTTCTTTGTTCTATACGTTTAGTTGGAGAAATTCAGCTCGTAAGATTTAAATATTAGATGTACATAAATAAGAAAATTGATTGTTTCGCTTCAAAGTTTCCCCGGCTTATGAAGTTGAAGTAAAAGTCGTATCAAAACAAAGACTGAAGTCTAATTGGACGTAATTTTTTTAAAGATCTGTGCACTTCGGTCTTTCGTTGATTCCCTGACGTTGTTATGTTAGGGGAAATATTTTGCGTTTTTAAAAAGATGGAATTATGTAATTGGTTGTTTTTACTTTATACAAACATTTTGCCAATTGTAAAAATTTCCTATGAAAAGGCTGATTTGGATTATATTGTATGTAAGTATTTTACCTTTTAAAAGAGAATCGCGTTTCAACTCAAGTGTTAGGCAGAATAACCTGCAAAACATTTTATTTCATTTATTTCTGTTTTTCACCATCCTTTCTCAACACTTTATAGCTCTGTTATCTAAGTAAGTTTTATGTAATATGATCATCTTTGATAACTATTGACCGTACGTTTAGCAGAACTATCCTTTCAGGTCAAATCAATTACAAATTTTATTTCACAGGCTAGATTTGTATTTTTTTGTTAACTTTTCTTCTCAAGGCAATTTACCAACCCTGAAGTTCTTAACCGAGTTCCAGTAGCTTTCCTGATTCTTGGAGGCATTGTTTTAGCGATACATGTTGTTGGATTTTGTTTGCTGCGTCCAAAACCAATTCAGAATGTGAGTCTATATGCTTTTAGTCTAGATTTTGGTTAGTTTTTCCAAACTAGTTGTAGTACATAATAAAACACTTATTTATTGCAAAAATTTACATAATTCTTAAAATTAAGGGTAAGTGGATACTTCGAAAAAATAATGTTTCCAAAACAGTCGTATCTTTTGTGGTTCTGTAGAATTTTATCAAGAATTGATGGCTTCTGTTTTTAAATGTTGTATCAACTAAGTATTCACAACTAGCTTTATGTATCATGTGCTTCGAAAGGATGATAGCCACCATTTACTTTATATTTTTACCATTACTAGGCTTATTTATCTTATAACACATGAGTTCTAAATAACCGTATAATAAGTACTTGTTTCGTGGCCCTTAGCACTGAAATTTACTGGATGATTTTCACCCTGTACGAAATTCACAAGCCTTCTCTAACTTCATTTTTACATACCACAAAACCAATCACTTCAGTCCGAAAGTAACGAAGGGAACCTAAAGTTTTGCAATTTTTTGCTTTATGAGGAAAATATAGTTTATAGTAATTAAGGTGAAATGAATTAAGCGAGTTATAACTGAATCTTTAAACTAAAAAAGTGTCCGAAGTTCAACTATGCATCAAAACTTGATACATTTTGCGACAAAAATCATTTTTCCCGGGATATTTCAGAGTTTTGCGCAAAATTTAGTAGAAAAGATATCAAGATTCTAATGTCAACTTTTTCCTTGTTTTCTTTGACTTATTTTTTTTTACTCCCCGCTGTTAGCTGAAATATTTTTCTGTTGAGATTTCTCGCATTTAAATAGATTTAAACAACTTTTCCCTCCTCAAGGCACATAATTCAGAATTAGAAATGACTGTCCGAAACAGAATCAATTCCGATCACAATGCAGTTATTGTAAGTTCATTGAAGTTTAAAATTTAGTTTTTACCAAGACTAAATTGTATATGCTTTTGGGTAATTCCGCATCGAAAATTAAATATCTTTAGATTTTTTCCCACATAAATAGTCGTACTGTGTACATTTTATTATTTCATTAGGAGATAATATGAAAATATGAAACAATCGGAAAATACCAGTGAATATTGTTCACTTTGCTTTGACAATAGATAATACATACGAATGTCTTCTCCGCGAGAAAAATAGATGAAAACATGGCTTCTATAAGCCGTTTGGAATCTCGAATTATACCTTGCCTGACAATCTCCACAGTCAGTGTATCATCAGTAAAAATATACGTGCAACTGTTAACCTACTTAATGAGCTTGTGCTTTACCGTCAACGATTTTTATTTCTTTTAATTGTAACTTATGATCTCGTCGTAGGAGGATTTCCTGAAGAATCTGCAATCAACACTCAGATTAGTAATCCATGGTTTAATGACTAAGGTTGATGTAAGTGGAGCTGAATTAAGTTTAGTGGGTTAACGTACTTATCATTTTCAAATTTTTTCACGTGTCAAATGAACTTTTTATAAATAAGCTTAAGCTAAACTTTTAAAGACTTGGTGTATCCTCGTTTGATTCTCGTCGATTAGCAAGTTTTTAATACCTTACATGATCCGTGTCCTAGAAATAAAAAGGACTAGGTGCATTTTCATTATATCAATAAATAGTTATTTATCCTTAGTACATATGTGTAATTAGACAAGTGGTTAAGGTGAGGCTTTTTTGTGCAATGAGTAATTTATATGAAGTCAAAAGTACCAATGACTTATTACAAAAACGCTACAATTTTCCCAGAGGGAATTTATAGAAGAAGAACCCAGAATGTAAGTTTCGTATATACAACACACTCTCAAGCTATGGTTATTTGCTATTTTACTTGATGCTATTAAACTGAAAGCTCTACAGATCTGACCGGCTTGACTTTACATAAGATTGTGAAAAGTAGCATGGTTGTCTGGATAATTTTTATCATTGCTGAAATTTACAATTCACATGCTTTAATTGATGTTAAACATGAAAAGAAAAAAACATTAGTTCCCACCGCGATCCTTTAAGGTACTAAGAGAAACAACAACAGTGTAACAAATATCAGATAGGTGGAATTGAATGACACTAATTGAAAAGCGAATTGATCGTTGTAGATACTCAGTCTTTTTAAATTTTTAAGGATTATGAGAAGGAATTGCTTGTGCACATCTATGGTCAGCTTTAAAACATTTCGAAACAGTATTTTGTTTTGCAATTCAACTGCGATAATGTCTTCATTTACATAGCCTACTTATGCCTCAGACTTTGTGGAAAATATTTCCAGATAACTGAAAAGAAATAATTATATAACCTTCTAAGATTACTATGTATTTGCAATTACTATGTATTATGCCACATTTATTTGTACGTGAATTTCTGCGTAAATTTTGTAGGGTATTACGGACATAACACCTAGCAAACCAACAAAACAGTAAGCCATTTTTGAAACTGAAATCGGAATCGCTTTCTGGAACTTATTCCACTATTTAACAAGAAACCAATTTATTATTATAAAAGATTTTGTATTTCCCAATGAATGAAAAACAAAACGATGTTATTTTTACTGACGTTTCGCTATTTAATGCTAATAGTTCTATCAAAGTATTATTATTAACCTATGCTGATGAACGATGATTCAGTTGTTATATGTATATATAAGATGAGATTTTGTAAATTCTGGTTTAGTAATACTTTGATAAAGCTATTAGCATTAAAAAGCGAAACGTCAGTAAAAATAACATCGTTTTGTTTTTCATTCATTGGGAAATACAAAATCTTTTATGGTAATCAATATTATAAATCCAATGATCAAATGTTTTCAAACTGTTAAAAGTGAACTTGGTTTGGAAATATAGAAACCAACTTAGTTTCTCATGCGCATCGTGTATATAATTTTTCTATCACTTTCATTTTCAGAGAAGTGAATGTTCCACCTAAACAACTGCTACGACATATAGACTTCTATCTCTTATGGTTTGTGATGTTCTGTGATATTATACCTATCACTATAATTACATCAGTTTATAAAGTGAGTCATTCTAGTATAAACACGTAGTGAAAATAGTCTAATTAGTGTCCTTTCATATGTATTCCTAATTTTCGTAATCGTATAGAATCAAACAGGTAAACAGTGATAGATGTTTTATATTCACAGTAGTCTCACATCTCTACAAACAAGCCTCTTTGTTACGACGCGTCGTATGTCATATTTGAAATAAAGGATGTATAAGTCGTTATTCTCTAATGGTTATTCCTGACAAAGGTTGTATAAAAACGAACAAAATTTAGTCTGAAACTTTGATAACATCCTTATCCTGAATCTGACAGATTTGATCATTTTAAATTACCTTCAGTAGGGCAGTTTCTTGAAGTGTTCTCTAAGTGAAATTATGGACTTCATTAGCAGTGTAAAAACTAAAATTGATTACATGGAGGATTTCATCATGAACTGAAATCAGTTAGAGAACCACTGGAAAACCGCTGTTTCGTCCTAGTTTGAAACTCTTCGTCGGTACGCACCCACCAAACTAGGACGAAACAGCTGTCCAGTACTCTCAGGTTTTCCAGTGGTTCTCTAACTGATGTCAGCTCATGATGAAATCCTCCATGCAATCAAACAAAAACCCCTACAAAACCAATACTTTAAAATTGATTAATAAAGCATCTGAAATGACAAAGGGGAGCATGATTTAGTTTTTGGTAAAATACTTCTGAATAGCTTAGAGTTAATTTACAAGGTGCATAGTTTCTGGATTGTCTTTAGACTCTTCATGGTGGTTTAACATAGAACTCACAGTGATGTTTGCAAAATGGTTAACTTTTTAATTTTTACACTTTATTCTTTAGACAAAAATTAGATTCGAGTAGCCTTTGAGAAATAATTTAGTAATTTATTTTTGATGGTGTCAGAAGTTATTCATTAGTTTTATCGATCTCATGAAACAATATCGAATATCTCATGATTAAGATTCCAAAAGGATATTTAAATACATTTAGATTTTACAGTTGCAAGCTTGAAATACAAATCCTCTGTTAAAATGTATGTATATTTTCCCCTGAATTTTTATTTCCCCGTAGCTATTCGGTCAGCAATTAATTAATGATGATCAATTTTTATCCACTGTCGCTACACTGTCATCCATCTTTAATGCTGGAGGTCGTGTTGCTTGGGGTGGGGCTGTTGATCGATTATCCTTCAAGGCAAGTGAAAACGTTATATTTTCAAGCAATAAGTAGAGTGTAATTGATTATTGTTCACTTATTCTGTATAAGAATCGAAAAATTTATAATTAATAATTATTAATGCTTGTTCACCAAAGATTATGTAAGTTACCTATCTCGAAAGTATTCGTTAGTGTTATAAGTTGAAAAATCACAAATAAAGCAAGTCAGTTTTCATTACTAGTGAACTTAGTTGACGAATATTTTCAACCTAGTATCCTGAGGTGCTTTTGGTAGATTATGTATCCACTCATACCTGATGGTACGTAAATTTTACTAGGGTATGGCCTGGAAGAACTATGTAGCACTTCACGATGTCGGAAGTCAAACTGAAGCATCAAGCATAAAGTATAAAGTAATAAAGAGAAAGAAAAAAGATGACACTATGAAAAAAGTGATACGCAACAGAGAGTAATGGAAAAACCGAAGACTAAAAGTATTACAACTAGAAGGGAGATCCTTAATTTTACATATGCCTAATAATGACCTAACCGAAAGTACACCTCAAGGGGTAAGCGTCGGACAATGTATTCATTACTTACTTTAGTCCATAGTGCCTTCTGAAGCTATCAATTGACTTGTTTTCGATCCTAATGAAAGTACATTATCCAAAGCCAGGTAAGGACTTTTCAAATCTCCGAACCATCAAGTATGATGTATCTTTTAGTGTAAATAACAATCATCATTACCTACAACTACGTGATGTCACGTTTGGTGTCGTAGACTACCAGTCTTGAAGTTTTAATTTTTATTTATTAGTGGAGGAGCATACCTAAAATACTAAAATAGTCATTTAAAATATCCAGAAGACTTTCAACCCTTCTATGGGCCTCAACTAATGGTTTCATGTTGTTTGTGTACTGTTAGACAAATTTTATGAAAGTGAATGAGAAACTATTAGCATCTTTAAGGACATCCGTAATAGTTTGATAAATAAGGGAAGGCTTGGTAATCTTAATAAACACTATTTGATGTTAGACTGACCCTATTAGGTGAAACAACTATTCAGCTCCTTGTTTTACCCTGAATTTTCAGTGGATGGTGATCTCTGGTGTAACTTGTTGATATGCAGTTATAATCTTGACATGGTAGTCTAACTTCCACATCACACTAATTTAACCAGTCGTAGGGTGGGGTGATAACTTTTGAAGGTCTTATTTTAAAAGCACCTGTTGGATAAGTAACTAATGCTATCGTAAGGGTCTGATGAAGAGGGAATGGGAAAAGTAACAACTTTCTTTCGAACAACCACCAGATCAGAACATTTAGAGTTGATAGATCCATTGATTAATCTCATTTCACAAATTCGTATGTACAAATCAGTCCTACAATGAACCGCTAGTCACCACCGTGAACAGTGGTGGTTGACAAAGGCGAAAGAGATGGAAAAAGCATCGGCGATAGGCAACACCAGACAACTATTCAGGCTTATCAGGGAAACAGGTGGTAAAAGGCAGATGATAAGCGAAACAATCTCCGAGAAAAATGGCACCATAATTAGCTCCCAGGATAGACGTCTGGAGCGC